GACAACTTCTCCCCTTTTCTCCATGGCCGCTCTGTTCCCATCTGGTAGATCTTGACCTAGCGTGAGCACCAAGATTCCCATGATGATGTGCAACCAACCAGGGACAAAGAAAGCGATCCTCCAGGCCGTGAAAGCTGTAGAACCAGTACGTCTAATGATTTCATAGACAACCGGCATGAGCAACTGCGTTATGCCACCGCCCATGTTTCCCCATCCGGCGGCTGTCCCATTCACCAGACCGATGATCTGACTGTTGAACATAGTGCTCATCCAGTATTGGCAAGACACGAACGTCGCCAGGCAGAAACCAATCATGAATCTCACCGTTATGAAGCCTCCGGCATCACTCACGAAGCTCATCGAGAACACTGTTGGCGCAGAAAGCATCACAAGGAAGGCACAGCCGTAACGAGGACCCAGAAGATCACACACGGCTCCCATCACCAGCCTCGAGAAGATACTCCCCGAGACCGAGGCAACTCCGGCGTTTCCGATGTCTTGTTTGGTGAGGTTGAGATTCTCCCGGATGATCGGGACAAGTGGTGCGGCTGCGAATGTGGAGACGAAACATGTGGAGAAAGAGATCCACGAGAGGTGGAATGTTCTCATGTGAGGATTTGCGAAGGAGAAGAGCTTGAAAACCTTTGCCTTGTGCTCGTTGTCCACCGGCAGGTCAAACTTGGCCGTCTTGTCGGTTGAGACCATCGGTGAAGCCACCGAAAAGGCAAAGCTCTGTTCTTTACCGGTGACTCCATGCATGGAGCTTCCGGGCTCACCAGTAGGATCACCCATTGCTCTATATATGAAGTTCTTTTACAAGTTTGAGATATTTATGTTTCAAGTTTATTGATTGATGTTTGGACTTTAGAGATTATAGCCAGTGCTTATATAGGATTCCTATCGTTGACAATTTCATAAAAGCATTCTTTGGAGATTCTCAACGGTTAACTAACAATTTAAAAGTACTTTAATCTGTTGGGAATCCATTGCATCTTCCTAGTCTCTCGCTTATCCCAAAGGTTGCTTATATTCCCATCCACCTCTCAAATGACAACTCTACCCCACTGATTCATATGTTGCTGAATCTTTTTGACATGTCTAAGTTGTTACCTAATAGAATAGGATATACTATTAGGAAGTTTCAGAACCTAATGCGATGTAGGAATATTGATTTTGATCTCATCTTACTTTTCACTTGTAATTCCACACAAGTTTCCGCCAACATTTTTGATCTCATCTTACTTTTCACTTGTTTCGTTGGCTATTTTTTGTAAAGATTTCATTCAATCACAAGTTCTATCTTTTTTTCTCCGAATGGGATCAAGCGCACTGCCATCATGCTTACTCATTTAAAATCTACCGTCTTTAATCATTCTAAAGCGATGTCGTCATTGTAATTCCCTATTATGCAGTTAGACTAAATTTTTAATTATTTCTTAAGGGTATCAATGTTATTATCTATATCGTATGACGTATAGTATCAAGGATTGGAATAATTATGATTTAGTGTATAATCTAATTGTTGTCTCCCGGACGGTCGAATTTATTTGGCCTTAGCTGCATATTAGTTGTCTCTTTGAAATTTCAATGTGATCGTTTATAACTTCAACAAACTTATTATATACTTTCCATATATATAACTGAAAATATTGGGTAATTTAATCGATAGCGTGACGTATGGATTATACATATATGCCCAAGTGCCCAACCATCCATAATTTGATTCGCATAAGTAGTTTTACATGTCAACCATTAGACTTAACCATAGAATTGATGACATTTTGACCATATATAACCTGTTAACCTAACAGGTTTAATTTTAATATACGTTTTCATAATACTCAACATTACGAATAAATTTAGAAACTTTGATGTCTTTTGTTAAATTTTTGTGATTTTCCTCATGATATGTAAACTAGTCGTGCTTTGCGCGGATATACAAACGTAAAAGTAAATTATTCTGTGGCAAAATATTTAAAACCATATATCAATCGACTAGGGCTAATTGATAGGTAGATACGCGTATATATATTGTACCAAAAGTGTTATAAGTACTTCAAGGAGCTGTACTATACGCCTATACGTGTGTATATGTGCATGTGTTTCTCCACCCATCGTTGCCGTACCATATTCGTGGTACTCGAATATATCAATCTTGCTGACGTGTCCGCTGTTCCCTGTGTTGAGGTCTGTTGAAGTTTGAGAAAAGACAAAAAAACTGCTGTCCGAATTTGAGAAGTCAACTTATTGATGATATCATCACTGTTATATCAATATGATAATGGGTGTGTGAGATATTTTTCAAATATAAATTACTTGCAGATCAATTTGATATATTCATATAACCATTTCTAAAAAAATTAAAATCATTTGTCAAAAACAACATTTAAAGTCTTGAAACGCCGTTAGTAAACAAAAAATGGTCTGGACACACCGGGGCTGATTCAGAATCTTGAAATTTTATACAATCCGATTATTAGATTCATTGTTTTTTCAATACAATACGCTAAGTTAAATTTGATCACAATTTACAAACTTGCTCTACCTAATAATAAAACTCATCATAGACACGATTAATCACCATATCTTTTCCTTATGCTATTCACTAGCCTATAAAAATTATTTCCAAGTTAAAAAAAAAAGAAGAAAAGAATCATTATTTCAATCAGAAGACATTTTACTACGCCAATATTTATCTTTAGATAATGTGAACTGTATGTAACACACTACGACGCCGTTTGAACTGTAACACGCTACGACGTCGTTTGAACTGTAATACTACTCTGTCTCTAGATACACAGCGCATTGCAGCAGACTGAAACTATTCCACTCTCCGGTCGCAGCCACTGCTCTCAATCAGCGGTAAAAATTTCTCCTTTCCTTTGTTTTTTCTTGCTTTCTCAAATATTATGTGCCTAGAAACGTCATGGGTTCGTACTCAATAGCAAGTGCTATATCTCGAATCTCGCCTCTAATCCGCTTCGTTAAACCTTACCCCACCGGTTTTTCTCTCATCAATTGCCCTTACAACAGAACCCGGAAGCCAAAGGTTTACGCTTTTTTTAGAAACCCCTTTATTGGACTATGTGTGTTGTTTAGTCATCTGGGTCTGTTCGATTTTGTAGAGATTTGATCAGCTTCGTGTGTTCTCTATGGCGTCCGAAGCGAAGGAATCACCAGCAAACAATCCTGGCTTGTCAGCGACTAGGGATGAGGCTACAAAAGGGTATATAATGCAGCAGACTGTAAGATTCCTCACTCCTCAGCTTCGATTTATGAGATTCCGTTAGCTCATGATCTGTAATTTCTGTGCTCTAATCAAAATTTGCATCTTTGGGCTCTCTTATGTTTAAATCTCGGCTAAGAATTTCGTATGTGTTATCCATCCCATGTCCCTGTGAGCAAACCCAAATTATCAATTGAAATTGAAAGCTCAATCATTGAGTTTGCGTATTTCATTTTGTACACAGCTACATGTTTGACTGAAATGTCTAAAGAAGTGTTTTTTTTGAATCTGCAATTGATAGTGTTCCATCTTTTTGTAACTCTCAGATGTTTCGGATCAAGGACCCTAAGGCTAGTCTTGAGTTTTACTCACGTGTGCTGGGAATGTCGTAAGTTCTTTTCCACCTCTTGAATGCTCTTCTCTCTTTGGTTACAAATGAATATGCTTTCTTTTGTTTCTAAGGCTTATGGACTCTATATTTTACTCTCTTTTTTCCAGATTGATGAAGAGGCTGGATTTCTCTGAGATGAAGTTTAGCTTGTACTTCCTGGGCTACGAGGTAGAGTTTTGTTCTGTGACCCTTGCTTAGTTCAACTATTCACTATTCTAGAGAGGATCTTACAAAAACAAAGATTGGAACTTTGCAATTTGCATAATATCACCTAGATCTTTACCGGTTTTAAGTGGAGAAGAACAAGCTGAGTTTGATTCATTTACTATGGTACAGGATACTTCAACAGCTCCAACCGATCCAACTGAGAGAACTGTTTGGACCTTTGGTCGACCTGCAACAATTGAGTTGACTCAGTAAGAAACAAACATCAATGCCTTACTTACTTTCTCTCTGTTTTCTTGGATTGAACGTTCCTTACATATGATTATGAATGCCTTTTACAGCAACTGGGGTACAGAGAGTGATCCGGAGTTTAAAGGTTATCACAACGGGAACTCTGAGCCTCGTGGATTTGGTAAAAGTTTCTAACTTTTTCTCTCTTTACATTCACAAAGTAGTTGAATAGTTTTGGTGTTATGGCAATTCCCTACAAGAGAAGACCTGTATATTAATACAAATGTAAACTTTCCCGCTGTTGTTGTTACAGGGCACATTGGTGTTACGGTTGATGATGTTCACAAGGCATGCGAGAGATTTGAACAATTGGGAGTTGAGTTTGTCAAGAAACCGAATGATGGTACTACTATTTACCAGCTGAATCTTTAAACATTTGATTTTATACATTTGTGTTGGGAAGTCTAGTTTTAATCCTTTATTCGATGTAAAACTTGCAGGAAAGATGAAGAACATAGCCTTCATAAAGGATCCTGATGGCTACTGGATCGAGATCTTTGATCTCAAGACTATCGGAACAACTACCGGAAACGCAGCTTGAAGTTGTACCAGTTGCGGCGGTGTTTGTGTTCTTGTTGCTCATTCCATCCGAGTTTGCACACAACTGAATACGTTCTGTCTCAGCTAATAAAAGCAACAACAAAGTCGTCGTTATCTATGTGCTCTGTTTCTTGATATATACAGTTGAGTTAAATAAGTCGTTATCAGTGTCGTCTGTTTCTTTAAGTCGTTATCAATGATGTTGCGAATAAATATCTTTTGAGTTTTTGGAAGGACTAGTCTCGGTCCATGAAGCACAGATCAGAAACACAAGCAGCTAAATCATTGAAAGAAACAAGCCAGGAGGATTCCTTGTATCCATGATACCAAAAGTAAAAAAACAACAAAAAATGGTTTGAGATGTTGGGGAAGAAGCTCTGAATGGAGTCATTTTTTGACCTACAAACAAAACCAAATGAAAAATTACACACTTTTATATTATACAGAGAATTCATATGAACAAATATAGTGCATGTATCATACCTGAACATCAATCTTAACGTCACGGAGAAGCTGTGCAGCTATTGTACCATACCTTCTCATCTCCCATTCACTCAGCTTTCCGTCCTGTAGTCTCATCAGCAAACTATCTTCCTTAAGACGAGGACGAGTTGCAGCAACGGCTTCCTCTTCCAACCGGTTTGGTAAATCATAGCATTCTCTGGTTGGGACCTCCGTCTCGCATTTTGTTTCGTCTGCGTCAGCAACAACTTCATCTTGGCTCGGATTTTCAGAGCTCTCAGCAGGAGATTTTTGTGCCATGATGTACAGATGAATGCTTGGATCTTGGTATTCACCATCCATCTGCACATTTTCATTCCACTAATCAACTGTTGCGTAGTCATGATTCTCTTTGTGAGTAATCAATGTTGTTAATTTACCTTGGATCTTGGTATGGTTTTGACTTCGAAGTTGTCTTTCCACATCTGAAGCATTTTGTCATGAACAATCGTCGAACGTATCTCATATCCCAACTAAAAAAACAACAATAACGAATCATCATACAGTGTCTGTCAATGAGAGTATTAAGCCAATCCCAAGTATCTTAATCCATACCATCACTGTTGTCTTTGGCCCTGAAAGCGCAAGAATCGTACGCAACAGAGGTTCTAGAAGCTGCTCAGAGTATACCTTTTGACCAAAACAAGACTGTCAGTCACTTCCAACAAGTCTGAGTAAAATACAGTGAAATCATTCCAAGGATTCTGAGTAACTTACAACATCAGTACCGATGACATAGTCAAACGGCGGCTCAACGGCCCTTATATGATCTTCGTTTCCCCAGTCAAGTTCTGCAACTCGGAGCGATCCAAATGATGCTACAAGGAATAACAACTTCATTAGGCACCTAACTAAAACCATCTGGCATTCGAAAGAACTTAGAGAGGACAGTATTGACACAAACCTGAACCAGGATTCATCTGCAAGATTGTGGACTTATTCCATTCAACATTCCTCTTTAGCAGTGGCAAAACCTCCTTCTGGTCAGTTGAAACCACATCACAGCCCAGCATCGCCATAGCTGACACATAACACAAACTCTCATGTTCCAAGCAGAGACGTAGTCATGCTAAAGAATGGAGAATCCTCGAGATATCATATACATACATGTTATCTACGTACCAAATCCTGCAACGCCGCAACCGGCTCCTAGCTCAATAGCACGTTTCCCTTTCAGTTTAGACGGACTAAATCTTCCCTTCCTGCAGTTTTTCTCCTGAAATGTTTCAAAGCGATAAGGCTTTCTTGTTGAATCTACAGCAGGAGGACTATTGTAATTAGCCTAGTGGTTGAGCTCAGCAAGGAGTTAATCTCTAAGGATCATACCAGATATTTAGCAAACACCATGGACGCATCCCACACGGTTGTTCCTAAATGCTTCGAATTTGGATCCTTCCATGTAGAACAATGGGAGAAGTCAAACAGATGAACAAAGGGGAAAAAAAACCTCAGGAATTCAAGGAATGAAGTCTTACCTGAGCAAAGTTTAGTTCGTGCCCCAAAACCTCAAGAGTTACAGTACAGGTGCTTGGAGAATTCAACCTAATGATACAGCAAAAGTGTCAAATTTGTTCAACTACTCAATTCGAAAACCAAAACAGTTGCTCAAACTAGCTGAAATATTCCTGAAAAATAAAAGCTTTATTCTCAAAAGAATCCACTGGCAATGATTCTACCTGAAAACAGCACGATCTCGACTTGTGTGATACAGAAATACAAAGAATCCCAAGACAGAGACTTCACAGAAAGATCCAAACTTGAAACAGTTGACAAGGTAACACAAGCATCAAATAAGCTAAAGGCATTATACAGCTCGTATGATCGGTTCCCGAACCAAAAGACCATATTCATTCGTTTTTCGCGAAGATTATAATTTTAAAAGTTGGATAGAGAAAGTGGAATACCTATCGGGATCCATTTGTTCTTCGTCCAGCGAATCACAAAACTACGCCGATTTAGCGTCGTTGTTCTCCGGGGAGAAATTTCGAAAGGACGTTTCAGTTCAGAGAAATTGCAAAGAACCTCTCTCTCACACAGAGGTTTTGGGTATCGCTCTTTCTAGCCGAAATTACCAAATCTTACGGTGATTGGGATTAGTAAATAACTTTTGGTTTAACTGACGGTTAACACAAGACGAAGATAAATGTACAGTATAAAGAAATAACAGGAAACAGATGACATTGTATTCAAAAAAGTCAAAAAAATGGATTTCTTCAATCTAGAAATGAAAAACATAGTCTGTGTAAGATTTGTTCGCTGAAATACTTTGGATGACAAATTACATTTTACAACACGATGAAATATGATCCGAAGACCAGATTACATGGTTCAATTCAATCATCGTCACCTCTCACTTCATTGCTTGGATGATTGTGCTTCTGAGCTTGGTACATATCAGCAATCTGAAACATGCAGAGGAAAATGAATATCAGATAAAGGCAAAACAACTTCAAAACCAGGCATTGGTCATAACATGACAATGGTTAGGAGGATGAGGACTTGACCTGTTCAGATGATGTTGCGTCCTCTGGCTTCTTGTCTTCCCTTACACGGAGTAGGCGAGGAAATCGTAGAGATATTCCCTTTCAACAAAACAAAATTGAAACAAGTCAATAGGTAACAACTTCCCTGTCTACTCAAAACTCAAAAGTAAATCAGATTGCTCAATGGTTTATAAGAAATTTGATGACAATGTTAAACCTTTTCAGGGTCCACAATGCCAGTAGCTGCACAATGCACAGGGCTAATTGTCAGGTCAGCTGCTTTCACTTCCCAGACCTCAGTGGGCTCGAACCAAACATCTGGATTGAAGTTGTCTTTAACTCGGTAGTATTGCTGGATATTTGAATCGTCACAATCATCAAGAACTCAGACATGATATTGCTGTTAGCACCAAAGAAAAAATGGCAGAGAAAGGAAAGAAATATCATACTTTTGGAGTAGCAATCACTTTAGAACGAAGACTGGTAGACCGCTCTTCAAGCACGGATTCAGAAAATCCAGTACCTAGTAGCCAAAACCGTAAAACCAAGATATAAGAAACTTGAGAAACTGATCACAAACACGTTACCAAAAAAAAAAAATGAAATGCACTGACCGATTTTACAAATGCTCTGATATTCTTCCTTATCAACATCGTAGCAGGCTAGCAAAAATGCACCAAAGACACCTACAAGGAAAAGCGTGTAGCTTTGTTAACAACATGAAGGGTGAAAATGTATCACCCAATATACTGTAGTTTGAATGTTTCTCACCTGTGCGTTTGCCACGTCCATGGAAAGCAGCAATTGGTACAAGATCTACAGAGTCTCCGATGCTGCATATTTAACCCTAAGGTGAGCAAAGAACTCAGATTTCAATATTTTAACCAATTGTTTTTTCTTTAAAGAGAATATTGCCTGTCCATGTAGTCTTTCTTCAGCTTTAGCCAATTATTCGATCGCTTTGCAGGCTCATAGGTAGCATCTGAGTTCAATGTTTTAATGATTAAACCTTCACAGCTACAAAAAGAACATATACAGATGAAGAACTCGAACAGAATGTTTACTGCACTTGTTAGAGATACATAGAAGTGTAAGATATATACCCAATGTCAACAGAAGCGTCAAGAAACTTTTGTATTTCCTCGATATCGCTGGATGTTAGAGCAGTTGCAAACTGAAAATACCCAGGATCTTCCTCAAATGACTCGTATAGCTTCTGCTAGAAGCAAGGTGCACACAAATGATTACATATTTGCACAACAAATTACTTCATGAAACCAGAGAAAAAACATATTTTGATGATTAACTGACTCACCTCTCGGCGAATATTAAGATTCTCCTGGATAAGTTGTTGGCCATTAAGATATAACATGTCAAAAGCAAATATGCATACGCCAACTTTGATATCATTGACATTCACATTTTTACGGGCTCGAGTGCTCAAAACCTGGAGGAAGAGATATATAACAAAGTACCATACTTTCAAATGAGTAGACAGAATTGAAGACTAAAACCATATTTGAATATCAGAACTTTGCTATTCGCTTATGAGTTACCTGGAACGGAAGGATTTTCTTTTTCTCCCTGTCAAAAGCAACAACCTCACAATCCAGAATAAAAGATTTCACAGAGGGCTTCTTTAATCTGCATAGAGAAAACTATCATAAGTCTCTAACTTCAGAAAAAAAGATTGGCTCTTTCTAAAGCTTTCACCAAGTTTACCCAGAAGTCTACCTTGATAACGCAATAGCAACATCGGGGTACTTCCCAGTGTTTCTTTCAGCATTTCGACTATATATCTCGAATGTACCATCCTCCATATAATGTACCTGCAGTAATCACGATTGATGCCAAGCAAAAATTAATGGCATATTTACATAACTCCACTCAAAGAATAGCAGTCATCGGATTTAAGTAGAGACTGATATATCACCTGAGCACGTTCTCCATCATATTTGTATTCGCATGTGAAGACGGTGTCCTGGAATTTATTCAGTATCTCACCTACACCTTTGGTTGGTTTGGCAAGCATGGGTCCAATTGGAACGCCCAGTGTAAAGTTACAAGTTTTAGGAAGATTCCACACACCACCAGTTAGAAGAGCAGGAACAATAATGTCATAGACAGGAAGCACGGTAAACACTTGTTTAACTATCTTCGCCGCCTAAGAGGACAGAGCAGAAGGATAAATCTCAGAAAATCTATCGTTTCTCAAATAACTTAGAAAGAATGGATTCTGATATGAAAATGAGAAATGCAAAAATCTAAACGAGAAAGCACAAACCTCTTCTAAAGGAGACTTGATATTTGAGGGTGGCTTTGAGTGCTCTTCATTATATACAGCGGCTTGTCCCAATGCAGCTAAGACCGTCTGATTTGAGAACCCTAACCGCAGTTTTGCCTGGAAGGTAAAATTCAGCAGGGCTGAATAAGGAACCTAAAGTAATGAGCCAGAAAAAGTAATGAGCATACCTGAAGTAAACGAGTTAAGTAAAGAGGTTCACAGTCTGTTGCTGCCACAAGAAGTGCCTTCATTCGATCCTTCTTCTTTTCTGTACTATCTTTTCCACTTTCCTACGATAATTAACACGCAACAGTCCCACTCATCTCTCATGCAAAAGAAGATTGATTGAATCTCATTCAACACATAACCAAAAATTCAAGTATTCAAAAGCCACAAACAAGAATGGCTTTGTAAGTAAGTACCTTAGCAATTAGTCTAAATGTATTGAAAACCTTGACAACAGTCAATGGTTCAGGCTTGAACATCATAGTCTGAGACGAACGGCTTCCTTTAGCCACAAGCCCCAAGTCTCCCAGCTCCTATAAGCCAAGTTGTGATACAGTAAACAACAACAAACACAGCTTCCAAATCAATTTCAGAGCCACATTGGACAACATACCGTGTTCAGCTTCTTAACCTGCGCCTCAGTTCTACCAAAAGCTTCGGAGATTGCCTTGATAATAGAACCTTCACCGATTCCCAATTCAATCCCTTCATGAGCAGGAGCAATCTCATTCGCCGCAAGGTAAACAGTAGCGGTCAAATCATCAGGAGTAGTGGCAATAACAGTTCTCAACATGTTGCAGAGAATATCAGTGATCACAATCCGGCCACTTTCCGTTGATGATAACGGAAAAATAAAAAGGTTCAGACGAGCTATATGTCTCATTTCTTATAACTTGGATATATATATGTGTGTATTTTTGCCCATAGTTTCGAAACAATGCCGTAGGAGTGGAGTCAGTGAACACATATATGATATCATAAATTATATTTTGAAGATAAGTGAAATGTTTATATTTAGACTAAGCTATTTGAATGTATTTTAATTTATAACCGTAGATATTCAGTGTTTAGAATCACCACTCTGATATAGTTGAATTACTTAGTCCCATATGAATCTAATAGACAGAGGGAGATAAAACAACAACAAAAATATAATATAGAGATCATTCGTTTATAGATTGTAAACTTAGCTTTGAAAGTCGAGTTCATCCAAGTGATAGTACGTCATAAGAGAATCTAATACTCGCTTACTATGCGAATAAGAGTCCACATTTTCACGCACGTCATAAATTCACTTATTAACAAACCAGAAAACTAAACTTATGCCAGCCTATATCTATCAAAATATGTTACTCTGATTGTTTTTAGGATTTTATTTCACCTATCAAACGGTCAAATAACTTTGAAAGAATACTGTCGTTTGTATTCGACTTTGTAATCATTTCTAATTGTACGTTGATATTTTGATGAAATTCAGTCTAAAAATAAAATCTCATCGTCTAGGACTTTTTTTACAACATGAAGTATTAATCATAAATATTCATTCACTTTACGTAGCAAACTGTATTTATTCTCCCAAAATGGGAACAATATGTTATATCATTCCGAATGCGAAAAACAAAAAACAAAAACAATTATGCTAAATATAGTTTGAGAAATCCGTAATAAATATATGCGATTAGGTTTACAAAATAAAATATTTACGTAACTTCAATTTTAAATACATCAGAAATTAGCCGCAAATCATATTGTACCAAACAAAATAGTTTGTCCTTTCCAAACGTAACGTAAAACCCTAATCCATGACCTAATTTTAAATACATCACAAATTAGCCGCAAATCATATTGTACCAATCAAAACAGTCCTTTCTAAATGTAACACAAAACCCTAATCTGTGACCTAATACATTTCCGCTTTTTCTTTCCATAATATTTTTTCATCGGCATTTTAGTAATTTTTTTTCAAAAAATGTATTGCCGATATATTTTCATAGAACACTATTTCATCTATACACTTATGAGATTTTGAAAAAAAAATCTATACATTTTTAATATATGCGAAAAGAATCTTTTTTTGAAAGTGGTAAAACTGAAACTTTAGATATTTTCTTTTATGTTTTATTTTTTTTCATTATATTGCAATTTGCAATAATGATATTTAAAATAGTTTTTGCCTTTTTGGGGTTTTTATTTTCTCCTGCCAGCCGTTAAAACTAATTACAGCCTATATTTTAATATATGCAATAAAATCTTATTGAAAGGGTAATAAAATCTTGCTTTAGAACTAATTACAGCTATCACACATCAAATGTTACCTCTGCAAATTAAATGGCTACCAACTTTTACAAGCACAAAAAGAAAGACAGTTGGGTAATGACCAGATTAGTGAGTGAACGAGGGGGATTAGGGGATGAGTATTAGACAGCTAAACCTGTGGTCAGCATTCACGTGACACATAATTCCTGATTTGTGAGATCACGTGCCTTTTTTGCGTTGGTTCGTTGAACATATTGTCTTCAGGTCCTCGGGGGTGGTTTCACGCCCAATCCAACCCTAATATATTTCAATTTAACTGCCTCTCCCTCTCCTCCTCACTCTCTCACAATTCTCTCTTCTCTCATCTCTCGGCGAGCGGTGTAAGAGTAAGTTCTCTTACACCAACCAAACACATTTCTCTTCTTCTTCTTCCTGTTCTTCTTCTGATTTTGCTTCTGATTTTGCTTATTCTTTTGATTTACAGAAGATGGCGCCTTCGAGGAAGCAATCAGCAGCCAAGAGCAAGAGCAAGCCTTTGACTCTCTCTGCGAACACTAAGGTTCTCAATCGAATTGCTTCTTCAAGTTTGATACTTTGGTTTCCGCTTTGCTGTTTTGATGTGTTTATGAGCAAAATTGACTTGAATTACTGAATTTTTTTGGAACCAGGTTCGCAATTGCCGTGAATATGGCGAAGACTTGGTGGGTTCAAAGGTTAGAGTTTGGTGGCCGAAAGACCGCGAGTGAGTATCCAATACCATGGCAAAATTAGGGTTTTTTTTTTGAACTGTCAGTAGTTGCAATTGAATCTGACTGATAGATCTCTTTGGTTTGCAGATTCTACAAGGGTTCGATTGACTCATTTGACTCTTCCAAGAAGAGGCACAAGGTAATTCCTTGTTTCTGTGATGGGTCTGCTTGGACATAGATTGATTTCATATTTGTTTGGATTTTGAATTGGATCTCCCTGAAAGGTTTATTGATATGTGATAAATTAGGTTATCACTTGTATATTCATGGATCCTCGATATCTGGATAATAAATTGGATATCTTTGGTGGATCATGGATGATTTACTTTCTCAGGGCAAATTCAGTTATCAGTTTTTTTAGATTGTGGATGATCTTTTGGTTTACCCTATATTGTTATCGTCCTGTGATATTAGGTTCTGTATGATGATGGTGAAGTGGAGGTCTTGGACATGAAGAGGCAGAAGTGGGAGCTCGTTGAATCTGATGATGATAAGGAGGACAAGGTAGAGAGCGTTTCTGTCATTTATTGTCGATTTATTGCTGTGGATTACCAGGTTTTAATGGTTTAATGTGTTCCTTTTCAGATTGCCAAGCAGGAGGATTCTGGTGATGAGAGCTCTGACTCTGAGGCCACCCCTGAACCGTAAGTTTTGCCCTTATTCTTGATTAGTTTTTGATTCAGAACTTGTGTTGTGCTTGTGTATTATCAGTGTATGATGATAATTCCTGATATTCATAAGTTAGGATGATAAGTCTGTTTGAAACATACACGTACGTCCTTGTCTACGCATTGTGTCGCTTAGCTTTATATCTCAGTAATCTCAATGACATTTGTTTCGTCCCTTTACAGGGTTGTCAGGAAGAATGCAAAAAGGAATGGCAAGGCTGCTGTTGAAGAGAAGCCGAAGAAGAAGAGGTTGGTTACGTTTACGTGTGGATACTTAAATTAACTCGTGTACATATGCGCACGCTTTCAATCACATTCACACATTAATGTCTCTGGTTTCTCACATTATGGAGTTGCATTTATAACATTGAGATTACGTTACTGTTATCTTGCTTTGATTCTGATGGTTTAAATACTCTTATTTACAGTGTGGCCAAGAAGGCTGAGAAAGCGAAAGCTGTTGTGAAGCCAACCCCAAAGGCTGGAAAGAAGCCGGAAGCTGAGAAGAATGGGAAAATGGGAGATGTTGGTGGGAAGATTGTTGCTGCTGCCTCACGCATGAGTGGGAGGCTTGTGACCAAGGAGAATGGCAAGGCCAAAGAGACATCCAAGCCCGTGAGGTCCAAGACGAAGGCTTTGGTGAAGCCGAGACCGAACAAGTCCTCCAAGGCAACCCAGACAGACAACAGTGACGATGCTGTTGATGCTTCGTCTGAAGATGAGGCCATTGAAGCCAGCAAGCAGGTTGCTGTTTCAAACAAGCGGAAGCAGAAGAGGCCTTCTTCATCTGCAGCAGAGGCCGTCGTCCCTAAGAAGCGGAGGACTTCCTCCACAAAGGTCGAGAGCGACAAATCTGACGAGGAAGAAGGTGGTTCAGCTGATGAAGAGGACGGCGAGGGTTCATCTGACGAGGAAGACAAGCCCCTGGCTGAGTTTATGAAGAAAACACCACAGGCAGTGGAAGCTTTGAAGGAGAAACTGAAGGGGATGAAGGAGAAGGCAGCAGAAGGAAGTTCCGAGGCTGAAGAGGACGCTGAAGCTGGAGAGGAAGCTGAGGAGGAGGCTGAAGCTGAGGAGGAAGCTGAGAAGGAGGCTGAAGCTGAAGAGGAAGCTGGGAAGGAGGCTGAAGCTGAAGAGGAGGCTAAAGAAGAGTCTTCTTAGCCATTTCTTTCGGTGGAGGAGGAAAGATAAGATTTAGAGTTTCGCGGTCTCTCTCCTTGTGCAGGTCCGTAGAAGACAGTTTAATCCAATTTTAGGAAGCCATTGTTAAAGTTTGTGGCTCTTTTTCTTTTTAAAATTTATACAGGAACTCTTATTTCCCTAAATTTAGGGTTGTAGGATATTGTTGCTTAGGAAATGTGCAGCCATGGGGATATTGAGGGTTGAAAAGCTTATCTCTTGAACTATGTGTATGTGAATGAATGTTTTCTTTTTAACCTCCAAATCCATCTCTCTTATGCATTGTTTTTTTTTTTTTTTCACTTATCAGGCAAACCAGTTTTTAATCGTTCACATACTAAGAATTCAAGAAGGTATGACTTGCAGAATATTGTGATTTTGTTCTGATATAAGCAAGAGATGTAGGCTCTTTATTAACTCACGCATAGTACTACAAACATAATCGAGCCTAAACAGTATTAAGCAAGTTCGATTTCGAGAATATCAGAAAACCAAAAGGTGTACAGGTTTAGAACCGTGTATTTACTATTTAACATAAGTTTTAAATAACACAAACAAAACAGCTTTTACTTGTCAACAATCAAATTATTGTGTAGTGACTAGTGAGTCTAGTGACTAATTTATTTAGCGGCGCTACTCGAAGACCTTTTAGTACTGTCCACTATTTTACTGTCTCCTTTTTTTATTTTACCAGCTTTTCAACTGTATGATACAGTCTGTATCTCTAAATGATTATACAGAAGGCAGTGCATGCTGTATTACAAGTTTACAACGAGACAAACAGTATTAATTAACGTTTAATTACTAACATTAATGCATCCTGCGTTTTATGTCGATGTCCAATGGAAACAAAACGCCACTTGTTCTTATTCCGTGACTAGTGAAAGGCACTCTTGGTAGCTCATTCAGCATAGTTTGGGAAGTTATAGTTGGTATCCTACTCATAATCGTCTAAAATTATTTATCCTACAATATACTTTTCAAGCTTATATGGAAAGAACGAAACAGGAGAAGACACGGGGAAGAATAATTAAATGTTGGCGCAACAGCTAGTGAAGATCCTTGGCAGGAACGTGAGGAACTGCCTAAGCTCGATTAGCTTCTTTGGTGACAATTAATAGCTATGAGGGAAATGTACATGTCGTGTAGTCAGTCGTATACGGTTCCATTTTTTGGATGAATGAAAACAAAAACGTGTTTGTTAATTACTACTGAGCACCAAGCCCTGCCGCGTCACTTGACCATTCAAAGCAACCACAGTTCTCATATTTATACCGCATTAGTTTACATAATAAAAAAAAAATTACATCATTTATGCTTTTAACTATTCCCCTTTAATCATTGTGTAACCTACACACGTGACACAAATTTCGACACAAAATTTAACCACCGTTAATCCATATAATAAAATTAATGAAGAAAAGAAGTGGCAGATGATGCTTGTGACCCTCACTAATGGCGCAATCAGTTACAAAGGACATTAAACAGATAAGACGGCAATGAGACGGAACTGATTAAGAAGACACATCCAACGGCTCATAACGTCTCTCATGTCCAATCAACGACCAAAGACAAAAACTCGCCTTCGATTGCGACACGTTTCTCTCTCCGACAAACCATAACCAAGCGTTTCCCATCCGTACTTACTTCTCTCCCTCCTTCCCCTCTCTCTGTTTCTCATTTTCTCTTCTTCTTCTTCTTCCGGTTAATCTAATTTCCTGGAAACACGTTTTCAGATCCTATACATTCTAGGTTTTTAAGTTTCTCTTTCTTATTTTCTCTTTTCATTCGAGAGAGAGAAGGAGATAGAGAGAGAGCGAGAGAGAAAAAGAGGGCAGTCGAGTAGTCGACACATGTATGCTTTTGCATGTGAGAGAGGGAGAAACTTAAGATAAAACACTAAATCTTCTTTTTCTTAAAGTTCAGTTTTCAGTTCTGAGCTTATCTCCATTAACTTTGTTTCCAGATTCAGTTCCTTTATTAAAATAGAATCTAGAGCTAATATTTAGTGATGAAACCCTAATTTGTGTCCGTACTCAGATTTATTCTTTCCTTTAATGGATCCATCGATCAAAATCTCGTTAGTTGTATTATTTACTAGATTTGATCTCAAGTACCTTGGATCTGTACTTGTAGCTTCTTTTTCTTGTTTTATCTCTCTTTTTTTTAATATACTTTTCATTGGTTTGCCCTTTTTTTGTTTTCTTTTTTTGTTTTATATATATGGTGTGCGTGTGTATATGTACTTTGTATACGGTTGCTTTTGTTGATGGGGGAAAAGAAATTGACAGAAGAGAGTGAGCACACAAAGGGGAAATTGTATAAGAATTGTATACGGTTGCTTTTGAGTGCTCACTCTCTTTCTGTCACAACTTCTCCTTCATGAATCTTCCTTATTCATTGAATTCTTGTGATTTTTTTTGTTCATAGCTGTCTACGCGTACCAGATTATGTATACATATGTTGCATCAACCTATCTTTATCTTTATATGCTTCTTTATTATCTCAATTAGATTGGAATATGATGCGCGCAGTCTCAAAACTTTGTACATTTAAGAATCATAGATTTTTGTATGTGGATGTTGATGTGAATGTGTATATACTATTTGTCAGATTTCTTATAGAATCTTACGTCTTTTTAGGTTTTGTTGACCCATTATGCTTCTTAGACTTCTTGATGAATAGGATGTTTGTATTCTAAGCATCTATTAGGGATCCCTATCTATCATCACTGGAGTACGTTTTGCAGACTCTATCTCACAATTATATTGAATGGTCCCAATTATATTGCATAAATCATTTAAGTTCTCTACCTGTATATACTACTGTATATATAATTGATGACTTTTTTTTTTGGATAAGTACGTATACTGGTGATGACATGATAACAAATGTATTTTAAAATGTTATGGATGTGTCTTTTGTTCAGGTGGCCAGAACTGTGACACTTGGAAACATTGTGGCTTTTTAGAATTTGACTTGCAGGTGTTTGTCATCTTTGTGTCCAGTTTTTTCATACAAGAAATCGAAGAAAGCCACTTCCATATTCCATTTTCTCCGCCTCGTCACTCTTTCTGCGTCAGCTTGTTGCAAGCTACTTGCATATAGTTAACCTATTCAACGTCAAGATTAGCCCTTGGTACTATAAAATAGCAAGTTCTGAAGTATTTGATTGTTCGGTCAATAGGATTTGTTTGTTATATTGTTATGGCATCCCCTTGCTCATCACTTTAGCTTGTTTTTATACTAACTTTTTGATTGTTCGTTGTTATTGTTTAGCATATACCAGAAAAAAAAACTTATTTTATGATAACGACACGCTTTGTTATATGTTAACGAACATGATCAAATAGTAGAGTACTCCATCCAAATCCAGCACATGCATGCAGAGGATCTGGCCGTGAAATGCAGACAACAGGAGAAAGAAAACGTCGAGTCATGTGGAAAAACAAGTAAAAAGTTACGAAACCTTTTCGTTTTAGTAAAACTTGTGATAATTTTTTTTTTGTTGAGAGATCTAAAATCGACACGTGTACCCAAATTTCTCTCAAAACGATAGCATTTGCGACAGATCGGCCTTCTATGTGACAGTTTTTGTACACATTATTAATGTGAGAACAAAAAAAATGTGAGTGATAAACATATTTGTCTAAATAAGTGTAACGTTAGGTGTGAAAAGAAATTAATTTTGCCACCGAATATCGAAAGGAAATGGCCGCTCACGAGTAACACGAGTCACCACCAAGTAAATTTATTTTCCCCCACAAAAATAATAACCTCGCTGATTTTTACTGGATTTTGATAAAGCAGCTCGGTAATTTTAAATCATAAAAATTAACGGCTCAAGATGTGTTTGGAGCACGTAGATACCCAACACACGCGCGCAGAGGATCTAACCGTAGAATATTGTACCGGGTACGAGAAATTGCGTCAGATTGCAAAAGAGAGCCAAAGAGCCAAAGGGCTTTTTCTTCTCCTTCCTTCATCCAGTCTCTCTGTCTTTCTCCGTCTGATCGGTGGCGATCGCTTTCTCCATGGAGAATCTGAGCTTTCACGATGGTAACATCTTCAATCTCCTCCACTCAAGGTCCAAGGAGCCAAGTCATGTACGTTTCACTCATTTTTCTTCTCTTTTTCCTTTTCCTCTGCGTCCAAAGTCCAATTCGGACTGTTTTCTCATTCTCTCTCATTGCTAGGGATTTAGTTACAGTGCGCGAGTTTGATTTATGGAGGTGTTAACATTTAGTTGAATCCTTAGTGAACTTTATTCTCAGTTTTTGCTTCAACCTGAAATTCTACCATCTGATTACGTTTGTTCGAGTGTTGTTTGTGTAGGACGTTGATCAGAGAATGCAAATTCACTCCTCCTTGGTTCGGAGACTTTCTCAGGAGCAGGAATTGGAGGTATTGTTCTCATTTTACTTTTTTTATGTATGTTTGTTTATGCACTTGCTATCTTCACTGAAATCTGATCAAATGAATGTGTATTCTGTAATATTGGATGTGTTGTTGGTGCATTATTTTACGGATTTAACTGTGTGAATGTTTTTGTGGTTGTGTGGCAGGGTCATCAAGGCTGTGTTAATGCTCTGTCTTGGAACTCTAATGGTTCACTCTTGATATCTGGATCAGATGATCTAAGGGTATATGACTTTCATTTAGATGCCAGCTAAATACTCTTATGATCTTGCTTTTGTGCTTGCACATCTTTAATTTGCCTTTTTCCTTGTGTAATTCAGATAAATTGAACATTTGGCTAATTAAGTCTTTGTGCCAGTTCGTTGACATGTCTTGAAATTTTATTTTGCTTTGGAATTGCAGCTTAATGTTTGGAATTACTCTAGTCGGAAGCTTTTGCATTCTGTAGATACAGGGCATACTGCAAACATATTCTGTACAAAGTTTGTCCCTGAAACCTCTGACGAGCTCGTGGTATCTGGTGCTGGAGATGCTGAAGTATATACAATTACTCCTTTTGGATTGTGATTTCATTTGGTTTTGAATCCAGTTAGTCAATTAGTATCTGATGTTTTTTTTTTTCTTTTCTTTGGGGTGTGTGCGTGTGTTTGTCCTGTATTATAGGTAAGACTATTCAATCTGACCGGGGTAAGCAGTAGAGCAGATGATGAAAATGCTGTTGCACCATCGGCACTGTACCAATGTCACACGCGGAGAGTGAAAAAACTAGCTGTAAGACCTTTTTAAACGGTATTTGAGCCTTCCATTTTGAGCTTGTTTTTCGATCAGATGTTTTTACCATCGTGTAGGTTGAACCTGGTAATCCCAATGTTGTGTGGAGTGCTAGTGAAGATGGGACTCTACGGCAGCATGATTTCCGGGAATCTACCTCTTGTCCTCCTGCTGGGTCTGCTCACCAAGAATGCCGCAGTGTTCTCGTAATCTCCAAACTCTGGTTTCATATTTTGCAATTACGTTTTTGTTGCTCCAGTGTTTCCATCTTGGCTTTAACTTTCTCCAAATTATTGTTACTTGTGTGCGTTCACGATTCTAAATCATATTTCTCGAACATTTATATACTTGCTTGTATTAAACAAACTGTCTGCTGTCTGGCTCTTATGAATTTTTTCTTCTGCTAATTGAAGCATTGTTGTTTGATCTGAATTTTGCAGCTTGACCTACGGAGTGGCGCCAAAAGAGCACTAGCTGATCCTCCCAAGCAAACTCTCTCCTTGAAGTCTTGTGATATAAGTGCCACAAGACCACACCTACTTCTCGTTGGTGGAAGGTATTTGCCTCCATGTTTCTGAATCAAAGTGTTTTCCTTTTTTTTTGTTTTGTTAATTAACTGCTTGTTGTTTTCTTTCCTCTTTGATAGCGATGCATTTGCTCGTTTGTACGATAGAAGGATGCTACCGCCGTTGACATCATGTCGAAAAAGGATGCCTCCACCTCCATGTGTCAACTATTTCTGTCCCATGCATCTTTCTGAACGTGTTAGTTTAATTTGATTGATATTCAACTAGTTTTGCATTGCTGTGGTGATGTTGTATTCTTGTTCAATGGTTTTTCTACCAAACTCACTGTCCGCTACATGTTTGAAATATTTCAGGGGCGAACGAATTTGCACCTAACTCATGTTACTTTCAGTCCTAATGGCGAAGAAGTTTTGCTCAGTTACAGTGGGGAGCATGTGTACCTGATGAATGTAAATAATGGTATTTGCAGTTAATAATGCTTCCTGCTTTAAGCTTAAATTCTGTGAATAGTTTTTTTCTGCTTTGGTTTAAGCTCAATATCTGTTGATTCTTTCCTTTGTTTGCTTATTGTAGGCACTGGAACCGTGCAATACACACCAGGAGATGTAGCTAACTTGTTTTCTTTCAGTAACATCCTCCACGACGTAGAATCTCCACCTAAGGTTTCCATCACACCTCGAAATGGCTATTACAAAAATAGCAACGCTGCAACGGTTCGGATCTCTCCCCTCCCTTTGTGATTGTTCCAGAAAGTGGCCTTGTCATTCCATTTTTTAGTGCATCTCTAACTCCGTTCTTTTCAGGTAAAGAAGTGCACCGAATTGGTAGAAATTGCTAAAAGGTCTTTAGAAGAGGGTACAGATGTTTTCTATGCAATCGAGGCAGCTAATGAAGTTCTGGATGCGCATTCTAATGATATAGAGTCTGCGCTAAGGCATGAATGCCTTTGTACTCGTGCTGCATTGTTGCTCAAGGTCCTTTAGTACTGTGTCTATTACTAACTTCAGTCCCTACATTCGTTCTCTCTGATAACCTCAATCAGCTGAATCATTTATTTTCCAGAGGAAGTGGAAGAATGATGCTCATATGGCGGTAAGAGATTGCCAAAATGCTCGAAGAATTGATGCTTCATCTTTTAAAGCTCATGTTTACATGTCTGAAGCTTTGCAGCAAGTAAATTCATAGCTTTGATCTCAGTTACAAATTTTGGTTTATAATTTAACATTCATGTATGGTCCTGCAATATGCCTTTATTTTAGTCTTGCTTCCTTTTCTTACACATTTGTGCTTCCGCACAGTTGGGAAGATGTAAAGAAGCACTCGATTTTGCGACTGCTGCACAAAAATTGAAGCCATCAGATCCCGATATAGTGGCAAAGGTGGAGAGTATTAAATGGGATCTTCAAGCAGGTTTGTGACCACTAACGTATGTCTTTTCTGGCAGATGAACTGCTTAGTTTGGAAGATGTTTCTGCTTAATTGTTTGTTTTTTCTTTTTGATGAATTATAAACATTCGTTTCTAGTAGTCAATGAGGACAGTATATAAAAGCTTGCATGGGCAAAGAAATTTCTTTCAACATTTGATATTCTTGAACTTGTCTTTTTGATTGACAAATCAGCTGGAGCTGAAAAAAATGAAGAACAAGGAGGTGGAACCGCTAGAGTACTTTCGTTGAGCGACATACTATATAGATCAGAGGCCAACAGTGACAGTTCACATGATATGTCGAGATCCGAAAGAGAAGATTCTGATTATGATGAGGAACTGGAAGTTGATATCCAAACTTCCATGTCAGATGACGAAGGAAGAGATCCAGACTCAAATGCTGTGCGTGGCAGTCTAAATCTACGAATTCATAGAGTAAATGATGATGATAAGCCCGTGGAAAATACCTGTGATAATGCCTCCTCAGGAACTGCATCGTCATCTCAAAATGATAGAACCTCTTATCAGGTTAGTTTTCAGATTGTGATTAGACAAAGTTACCAGACTGAATGTGCTTCGTACTCTTCGATAATCTAATGGTTACTATCTACACCACTGGTGTCTTGGTGACTACAGCCAGAGGGAGCCATAGATATGAAGCGTAGATATGTAGGCCACTGCAACGTTGGAACTGATATTAAGCAAGCCAGTTTTCTCGGTCAGAGAGGTAGGTTTGGTCCGGTTGACTTTAAACTTTGATAACGGGAATATTGACTTTCTGTAAACATTTCAGGTGAATATATTGCGAGTGGAAGCGATGATGGTAAGTGGTTTATATGGGAGAAACAAACAGGAAGGCTTATGAAAGTGCTTGTTGGCGATGAAGCAGGTTTTTTTTTTTTTTTTCACTTTATTTCCATTACGTTAGTCTCGAATTTCATTAGTTGGCTAAACAATTAATCTTTCTTTGTTGTCAAGTTGTGAACTGCATTCAGTGTCATCCGTTTGATAGCGTTGTAGCAACGAGTGGAATCGATAATACAATAAAGGTAAGCAAACGCACAACAGCTATCATTTTTTTTGTTTTGTATTTCATGTAAGATCTCCTAAATTAACCTGTGTATGAAGATGTGGAGCCCAATCGCATCAGTCCCATCGATTGTTGCGGGTGGATCAGCTGGACCTGCAACCTCCAATGTAGTGGAAGCAATGGAGAGTAATCAACAGAAGCTAAGCCGCAACAGAGAGAACCCTCTGTAAGTCCTTCTGTGATACTTCAGTGGCGGTTTCAGAGTTGATGAAGTTAATTTCGTGTTTTCTTGTTGTGGATTGATCCATTTGCAGGTCTGTGGAGCTTCTGCAGAGGTTTAGGATGCAAGAGTTTGCGGAAGGAAACTTTCACCCATTTGAATGTACTCAGAGCTAAAGCGGGAGGAAACTGTATAGATAAAAAGTGATGGTGAAATAACAATGGCTTTGAAGAATAAGGTTTCGAATGTAGCAAAAAGCTTTCCTCTCTGTAAAACTCGCGCACAGCTTCCTTTTAGGCTTTTTGGTGTTGTTGTACTTGTGTACAGTTTGATATTGGCTTCTTTCGACTATTAGAAATTGACCCTTTTTCAGTTTTCCCTTTGAATTTACATTTGTGTTTTAGTTTGGAGATAAGACAACACTAGTATGGTGTGTGTCCAATTTCTTATTTTAATTGAGTTTTTAGCATGAATTCGGACCATCTATACTTCAATTTTGACCAGTCCCACCAACGTGCTTCTTTGTGTATGATTATTAGAAAAATTAGTGATGTTATTAGTGATTAATTTAATACAACTTCCTAATCAATAGATCCAAAACGTTCCTTGGTGAACACAACATATATACCTTCGTATCTCCCTGCTTTGAAGAAAGTGATCCGAAAATAACGATAAGCTGTCATAATACTTTTTTGTCTTTTATTTTTGTTTAATCAATAATCATACATAATCCTTGTTGGGTTGATCACATTAGACTTTCCATTTCAAAAGTCACTCTCAAACCGCACGTCGACCATTTGTTTGTTTATTGTTTTTCTTCCTTGGTATACGTAGAAAATCAGAGATTCATAAACCAAAATGTGTAACACTAAATATATGTGCTCAGCTAAAATTGTTTATTGAGCCTCACAATATAACAAACATGTATTGAGCTTTTAAAATTCCTTCTGGTTGAAAGACTAGTTTTTCAAAAAAAAAAGGCCCCTCTATAAAGTTTCTTTATTTGTATATTTGTAAGAGATGGACACAACATTTTAAGCGATGACAACTTTATTCAGATATGAAGGCATGTGATAAAGTTTTACGCACGAAACGTGTCTTACAATAATAAAATGAGAAATTTATTAAAATACACGTTCTTAAGTGTCCCTTTTGTAAATGACGCTAAAAATGTTTTATCTATTGGATGTGAACTCCTATTTACCAATCACTTTTCAAAAGAATTATCGTTGATATTTTTCTAGTAGTTATTTAAATCTGACGTAATTGAACTTGCTATATAGTATCTCCTATTATCATAGTCTCATCAGACAACACTGGAATTGAGCCATAGGTTTGAGAAACGACGATTTTGAGCTATTGTTCCCATAGTCTTACTCAGCTGAAACTTAAAACTTTATTATAGTTTATGGAATGATTTTAAACAAAGTTTTCAATTTTTTATACGAAATGTTGGGTGGAACCACCGTAGACGATAAGGGGACAAAAGGCATTAGACCCGTTGGAGGGAATTATTGACATTATTTTAAGTGCGTTTCGAGTTTTGTCAATAATGGATACATATTCCTCTTTCTCCGACGATGTTATTCGTGAGAATTGTAGCTTTCTATCGATTAAACCAATCACAAAACAGCTCTTACATTTGGGAGTGAATGAGTCAAAACTCACGAATTAGAAAAATCAGATAGTATCCTGACTCCTGTTATATTCTTGCTACTTCCTAGATTGGTTTCCTTTGACGATTTTGAGCTATTGTTTCCAAAGTCTTCTTAACGATAGGAGGTATATTGTATTTTTGTAAACTTGTGCATGACCAAACATCTGCCATATGTAAAGACCTAATGTTGGCCAATCAATTAATGAATTCAGGGGAAACAAAACTCAAACGAAATTGTTCATAATCTTTTTATGAAGAATAAAATCTTGCAAATAATCTGCCATATGTAGATAACCAGAAGATAAAAATTCATGCATCAACACTGCAACTAAAATCTAACATTTTACAACTGCTGAATATACAATAAAAAAAACAACATAAACACAAACAAACATTTTATGTAACCATTTATGTCAAAAAGAAGATAAAAAATACAACCATTCTGAAAATATTAAAATGAGAAAATAAAAAATTGTATGGTTAGTTTTTTTCTGATTTCTAAATTTTTATTTAAAAAAACATTTCGAATGTTATAGAAAAGAGAATGTTGTCCTGTGATAGTGAGGAGTATATAACAACTTTGTTTACTCCTTGTATTCATTTTTGCACACTGAATCGCCTTCTTCACCATTTCTCTTACTTTTTCATCTCTAATGGTGAACATGAAATTGCACTTCTTCAGCTGCCAGGGTATATTCTCATGGATTCCTCTTTGCCTGAAAACTAATCAAACCTCATGGATCATCAACAGCTTTTCTTAATCCTCTTCTTCATCATCTCTTTTCACTCCAATTCCTTTTCATTTTCCGTAACAATACCAGAAAGAGACAAACCTATAATCCGATGGAGGAAGAACGGCGAATTCTGTTCGGGAAATACGAGATGGGAAGGCTTCTAGGCAAAGGAACCTTCGCGAAAGTCTATTACGGCAAGGAGATCGTCGGCGGCGAGAGCGAGAGCGTCGCCATCAAAGTCATCAACAAGGATCAAGTAATGAAGCGGCCAGGGATGATGGATCAAATCAAGCGCGAGATTTCAATCATGAAGCTCGTTCGTCATCCCAACATCGTCGAATTGAAAGAGGTCATGGCTACAAAGACGAAGATCTTCTTCGTCATGGAGTTCGTTAGAGGCGGCGAGCTTTTCGCTAAGGTCGCTAAAGGTAAGCTCCACGAGGACGCCGCTCGTAAATATTTCCAGCAATTGATCTCCGCCGTCGATTTCTGCCATAGCAGAGGCGTTTCTCATCGCGATCTGAAACCGGAGAACCTCCTTCTCGACGAGAACGGGGATCTGAAAATCTCCGATTTCGGATTGTCGGCGTTGCCGGAGCAGATTCTCCAGGACGGATTGCTTCACACCCAGTGTGGAACGCCGGCTTACGTGGCGCCGGAGGTTCTCAGGAAGAAGGGATACGACGGTGCGAAGGCGGATATCTGGTCGTGCGGCGTCGTTTTGTACGTGCTTCTCGCCGGATGTTTGCCGTTTCAGGACGAGAATCTGATGAACATGTACCGGAAGATTTTCAGGGCGGATTTTGAATTCCCGCCGTGGTTTTCGCCTGAATCGAGGAGGTTGGTTTCGAAGCTCCTCGTCGTCGATCCCGATCGGCGGATCTCGATGCCGGCCATCATGAGGACGCCGTGGCTCCGGAAAAACTTCACTCCGCCGTTAGCTTTCAAAATTGACGAGCCGATCTGTTCTCCGAGCAGCAACGAAGACGAGGCTCGCGATTTGGAGGAAACTGAGCCGATATCGCCGAAATTCTTCAACGCTTTCGAATTCATCTCGTCGATGTCGTCCGGATTCGATCTGTCGAGCTTGTTCGAGAGCAAGAGGAAGGTGCAATCGGTATTCACGTCACGGTCTCCGGCGACGGTGATAATGGAGAAGATCGAAACGGCTACGAAGGAGATGAACATGAAGGTGAAGACGACGAAGGATTTCAAGGTGAAGATGGAGGGGAAAACGGAAGGGAGAAAAGGACGGCTCTCGATGACGGCGGAAGTGTTCGAAGTAGCGCCGGAGATATCGGTGGTGGAGTTTTGCAAAGCGGCGGGAGACACTCTGGAGTACAATAGGTTGTACGAAGAAGAAGTCCGGCCGGCGTTGAACGACATCGTTTGGTCATGGCACGGCGACAATACTGCGATTAATCAGAAGGCCGATGAAAGCACCACTAGTTGAATCAGGAGTTTTGGTTATGACTGTACCGGTTTTCGGTTAATGTGTTGTATTATAAGAACTGTTGCATTGAACCTATATTTTCTTTGGTTTAATATAATTTTGGTTTAACTTCGAGTTCAGACATTTTCAATTTGAAGAACTTTGTTAGTACTAAATAGTAAATAGTAAATAGGTCATCACTCATCATCACACTATGTACTTATAATTTGTTGTTTTTAAGTTAAAAAAAAAAGAAGAATTAAGCTAAATATGTTTGGATTCGGTTGTCATTGGATATTAAAGAGGTTTGGTTAACTGGGAATCGGTTAGGATTATAATAGTTTGGTTTGCTGGGAATTTGGTTCCCACTTCCCAACTGGTTTATTGGAACTGAAAAAACGGAAAGGACTGTCGGATGTGAACCGGGTTAGTTTAGATTCTTTTTTACACTGACACGTGTAGTATTTCAGAGACTTCGAAAAGATTCACCTTCTGTTACCGAGTCAGGATCATCGAGGAATATTAGAGTTAGTGGAGAGGATTAAGTCAGAACAAAATAAAGTTTATTTATTCAAAGACTTTTCTTGAGTTTTGTTTTCTACGTGTCCAACTTCAGTTGTTGTTAGGCATAATTTCTGTATCATTGGGATAATAAGCGATTATTGGGATGAGTCTAATGCTAACATGAATATCCTTCCTATCAATATTACCGATTCAAAACCAATGTTTCCTATAAATACAAGGAAAAAACTAGTAATGCCTATCGTATCTTGTGCTTCTGTTAGAGAGTCGATACAATTATTTTTAAAGTGAGCATAGTAACAAAATCTAACAAGCTTAATAAAAAAGTGACTCGATCATTCTACAAGGTTCGAAGAAGAAAATGGAAAAAATCCAAACAAAGATAAATAATTAAAATGAATACAAACAAAAACAAGGAGTAAAGAAAAAAATAAATAAGAAGAGATGAGGTTCACCAGCAAACTCAATCCACGGATTGTCCAATTAAAGAAATGGAGTTTTCATAGTAAATTAATATCCAAAAGACCATCAATCAATCAGTGGCTAACATGGGATTTTAGGACAAGGATTGTGTCACAATCAGAAAGTGACTCCACCATCAAATGGATAATAATCAAATCGAAAAGAAAGGAGTGTTTGTGTTTGATTTTAGAGTTAACTATTTTAGGAGAAGAGAAACACCAATGAGGTTATTACTGGTGCGTATTTGTGTCAGTGTGTCTGTGGTCATAATAGAAATAGAAAATGACATTCTGAAACATAAAAGGAATAATATACTCTAAATTTTATAACATTTTAACAGATGTTCAACCTACAAGGAAGAGGGGGCTTCATGTCATGTAGGGTCCTCCATGTTCAACAAAATCACATCCAAATGCATTGCATTAATCCCATTATTAGTTTTCTGATGTTTGATGTTCAAACAATAATTGGGTTTAAGAAGAAAATAATCTAAAATTCCAATGAAATTCTAAACCCGCAAAGGTTCGATTGATGAAGTATTATCTTCAGACTCAAGGATAACATTATTCCACCATGTTCAAATCACAACCTAACTCCAATGCACTCCCTTGATCCAATCTATTAAAGATTTGATACAATTTTTGAGGTATTTGTCCTTGGTTTCGATATTACGGTATATTCTAAATAAACATTTGCAGTCACAGCATCACTGATTTTTTTTTGTATCTAGCTTGTCTAAATCCAATATTATTAGTAACGATAATTCACTAAAAAAGCACAACAAAAACATATTACTCATGATAAAAATTGTTAAAAGTTGAACAATATCTGCTTAAAATACAATAAAGCTTTATTTTTTTGGGTTTTGCCAGCGAAGGAACCACAATGTATTTGTCTTCCTCAAACCGCCGCAACAATCTGCCTGATGGTTTGGTCCAACTCAGGTGGTTGTCATGTTTAGCTTGTTGACCCAGTAGCCGAGTTGCTCAGCAACACAGTTCGATCCAGTTGACCCGTAGGAACTGAACTTATTAACTGAATTTTCAACTCCCAAAAACCCAAACACATCTTCTTCAAACACAGGACTCAGCTTCTTCATCTCTTCAAGACTCAGGTTCTGAAGTTCACATCCTCTTGCGACACAAACTCCAACTAGTTTCCCTACTACGTCATGCGATGACCTAAAAGGCATCCCCTGTGAAACAAAACAAACAAGAAATGTATTACCTTCTTGAATTAAGCTACAAAAACAAAAGGAAGATTTTGACAAATACCTTCTTGACAAGGTAATCGGCGAGAGTAGTGGCATCAAGGTGTCCTGCAGGGAGACTTTTCTTAATCCTGTCTTGGTTGAATGTGACATTCTGGGCAAACTCCGCAGAAACATCGATCATTCCCATTATCGTCTTGGTGCTATCGAACATGGGTTCTTTATCTTCTTGGAAATCTCGGTTGTAAGCAAGAGGAAGCCCCTTGCACAAGGTTAGGACGGTGACCAGATCGCCTATAACTCTGGCGGATTTTCCTCTCACAAGCTCCATCGGGTCTGGATTCTTCTTCTGTGGCATTATACTGCTTCCGGTTGAGACGGAGTCGCTTGGTGTCATGAAACCAAACTCCTCAGACGCCCACAGTACCCACTCTTCTCCAAGCCGTGATAGATGAATGGCTGTGTTGGAGTTCGCATACAGGAACTCCAACACGAAATCTCTGTCTGAAACTGCATCAATGCTGATTGAACATAGAGGATGAAACAGATTTAGTATATGAGAAAGCATAGATTTAAAGAGAGCTGCTGTAACCGATACAAGAACTAGGAAAACACCTGTTTCTCATTGGTTCGGTGAATCCAAGAGCATTTGCAGTCATAAACCTATCAATAGGTAGACCGGTTCCAGCCAAAGCACAAGCTCCTAGGGGACAGACATTTAGCCTCTCTCGACAGTCAACATAACGACCAGCATCACGTTCAAGCTGACATACATGATCACAAATACCAGCCAATAAGCTTCACATCACAGCCTAACCAGAAAACTAACTTAACGAAACTAAAACTTGGCCAAATAAGAAGTTCCAAACCTGCTCTACAAAGGTTAAGAGAACATGTGGGAGTAAAACAGGCTGAGCTCTTTGGAGATGAGTATAGCCAGGAACAATCAAAGCCTCATTCTTCAAAGCCAATGCAACAAGTGACGTCTGAAGGTATTTGATTTTGACGATGATCGAATCGATCGCATCACGACACCAAAGCCTGAAATCAGTAGCGACTTGGTCATTTCTGCTCCGTGCTGTGTGGAGTTTCTTCGCAGGCTCGCCGATTAGATCAGTGAGTGCAGCTTCAATGTTCATGTGCACATCCTCTCGATCAGTCCTCCATTCAAATTTATCCGCTTCAATCTGTCTCTCGATCACATCAAGACCACTCAAAATGCTATCTCTATCGCTATCAGTTATTAGCTCCTGCAAGTCAATATTCAATCCAAAAATCTGTCAATTTCGAAATCCAATTCACAGATGGAGTTCGAAGAGAGCACTCAAGTAAGACAAAGTAGTACCTGGTGAGCGAGCATTGTAGCATGAGCTTTGCTTCCCATGATGTCCTGCTTGTAGAGAACCTTATCGAAGGAAATTGACTCAGTGAACTTCTCGACCTTCTCTGTGACACTCTCCTCGAACCTTCCACCCCACAGCTTAACCTCCTTTGAGGCCGCGTCGTCGTCATCGTGGCTCATTGCACGCAACGGCGGCAGACTTCGTGACTTGTTTACCGGCGGCACAAATGAGACGGAACGGTGAGTGGAGGAGGGGGGATTGGAACGGGACGGAGAGAAGAGGAGACTCTGTGAGAAGGAGAGATCAATTGCTCCCATTGAGCTCTTAGGTGGAGGAGGAAGAAAGAGAAAGGGTTTCGAGGTCGTGAAATGGGGGTTTTTCGTTTTTGCGGCGACAACAGTCAGATGCTTATGTGGTATGGTCAATGGAAATCTGCATTTTAACCGGATTGGTTCGATTAAATTGGTTAACAACAGATCTTTTTATCGTTGTCTCTAGTCAAATTATAGCTTTGAAATTCTGATAGATTGATAGTCCATAAGATTGGATTTGACGAATTTCATTAAATTTAAACTTCACGTCACTAAGTGAACCTTGGGACAGTAGATTCTAATTGCAATCTCGAGCCTGTCTTGGAAAATGGCAACAAAGAGAGAAGGAACATTTGATAGTGCAAATGACTCACAACTTCTGAATCACTCTTAACTTAGCACTTCTTGCTCTGCGATTCAGTTTCTCCTCTTCCTCTGAAGGCGTGATTGGTCTCTTTGTCAGTATTACTCCTTTGGAACTAATCACAGTCTGTTTGATCCACGCTTCTTTCTCTTTTAATTCCTTGTCTATACTTTCCTCGACTTGCTTTTCCGGTTTTACACACACCTCTGTGTTTGCTTCTTCCCTTTGAAACCCCAACATCTCGAGGAACGTTTGTTTGACAACCCGATCCTCCAGACTGTGGAAGGAAATGACTGCTAGTCTCCCACCTGGAGAGAGAACATCGAAGGATGAGTGTAGAGAGTTTTGTAGCGTCTTGAGTTCGTCGTTCACTGCAATCCTTAGCCCTTGAAACACACGTGTTGCAGTCTTTATCCAACCCTGTCTACCTCCTGCAACATTTCAAAATGGAGTCAATTTACTTTGATCTTGTTTTCATCAAGCATTGATAGTGACCAAATCTTTAATTAGGACATGCATACCTCTGCTTGGTGGTGACATGCCCCGAATGAGATCCACCAGTTCACCAGTAGAATGTAACCCACCGTTAAGCCGAGCCTTGACAATTCTATTTTGAAGTAAATACCAATTGCTTTCTTCCCCATAATCTCGTAGGACTCTCCCCAGTTCAGATTCTGGCCAAGAATTCACTATATCTTCCGCTTTCAGAGTCGCCTGTCACATGTTAGCTGATAAGTTAGAAAAAACTTGTGCAAACACTCCCAAGAGATTGAGAAGAAGGAAGGTTCGTTCTACTTCACCTGAGGATCCATCCGCATATCAAGAGGTCCCTCTTGGAGAACGCTAAACCCTCTTTCAGGATTGTTTACCTGTCAGACAAAGATTTTACAAGCTTGAGTGAGAGATGTCAAGTTGTCAACAATGCAACGAAACGCAATTTGTTGCTTTGTAAAACCACATTTTACCTGCATAGATGACATCCCCAAGTCCATAAGAATGCCATCAACACCTACATCTAACAATTCCGGATGTGTAGCAGCGATTGCAGATTTGATGTATTTGAAGTTCTTCAACACCACAGAAGCCTTTAAAGTTGGATGCATGAGAGAATCAATATGAAATTGACCCAGTTTCCGAGCCACTGGATCAACATCCATTCCAACAAAATGCTTCAATTCAGAGTGGCTTTGAATTATCTGAAAGATATAAAGCACAAATTCACAATCTGTTTACATATCCAACAATAGCAAAGAAAGATCTAAAAACACTCAATAGCTTGTTTGATTTTTGCTAATTAATCAACAATTTGCTCAAATTCGGGAATCAATTAGAAGGAACTTACAGAAGAAGAGTGACCGGCGGCGCCAAGTGTGCAATCCACAAAGCTTCGCAAGCGAACGGAAGAGAAAACGTCGATAACTTCTCCGATGAGCACAGGCACATGCGAGGACGGAAGCTCGCCGCCGTCGGCGATCTCATACTCTCTGCTAGACCGTGTCCTCCTCTTTTCCTTATTCACCACTGCTTCAGCCGTCGCTTTAGAGACCTCAATCTCTTTCCTCCTCTTCCTCTTCTCTTTCTCCTTCTTCTTCATCTCGCTCGAACTGAGATTTCCCGCAATTACATTGATACTACGCCGAGGGAGGCGTAATAGAGACTTGTTGTTGTTATTCGCGAGAATCGAAGAGCATACAAACAGTTGCTTCACCCTAATCGCTCCCGCCATTTTCGTTTCTTATTCTCATGCCTCTTTCGCCATTGTCGTCGTATGAGCAGAAGAACAAATTTAACTGGTATGAAATAAATAAATCTTTCACTATGAAGAGAGAGAGATAGAGTGTATTTATTTGGGCTTGCTTATAATAACTGAGAATATGGGCCGGCCCATAATTATTGAAAAACAACATCCTTTTCGGTTCCTAAGCAGCGAAATGCGCGTGGTTTCTTTGCCCTAGAACCGGCAGGAAGTTAACACGAAAACGCTCGATCTTCGGTGGTGAGCGGCGGTTGTAATCGACATCGACGCCGGAACTGTGCCGACGACCTCGCCGAACGGTGATTTTATTCGTTCTCTGCCAATCTCATCGGGAAATTTTCGAATCTTTCCGAGTTTAATCGATATGCCGCCTCCAGGTAATTGTTTTTTCGATGGAGATTTTTTTTTTGTTCTCAGTCAATTGAATTGGCCAACCACCATGAAAATATCTCTGTTTCTGAGCAAAAAACGGAGTAATGTTATCCGAATAGTAACATTTGACGGGTTTTTATGTAGAAATCTCGAAAAGGGTATTAGACGCGAAGCTTGAAGCTTGCAAATTCGCATTCTTGAAGCTAAGTGCCGTTAAGACGACGAGAATGAAGAACTATAAGCAATTACGTACCTTGCTTATGTTGAAAGAAATATCTCGACGTGGTGCTGATCGAGACTTTCTTAAAGTAAACGTTGAAACCAGATTCAAATCTGACTTTATTAGTATCTTTGCTTATCACCCTTGACGCCAAAGTTACGTTCTTTGCTTCAGGATCCGGAGAATAGTGTTACACGAATTCTGTGTTCTGTCCTAAAGCAAGTGGTAAGTACACATCTTTATGCTTTTAGATTAAATGTTTGGTAAGTACACATCTTTATGTTATTGACTATATATTTTGAAATATGTGCCAGGTGAGTAACGCAGACCGGTCTCTGAAGTCACTTCGTGGGTTTCAGTATGAGACATTGGATGAGCAAGAGAAGCAACAGGTGACGAGGATGATAGCAAGTGTACAAGGAATGGGAAGTAGAAAATTCGAACCAGAAGCTGTAGATAATCTAGATGACATGACTGAGCCAATGGAAATGGAGATTTATTTGGGAAACGGAGATGACTCCGTTGGTGCGGATTTCGGTGACATTGTCTTGGATCCAATCTCATGGCCTTTGGAGTCCCAACTAACTCTTGAATGGGTTGAGATTTTGATGGGTTTGGTGAACCAGTTCACTTGGAAAAGCTCTGTTTCCGAGTTCCCTTTGGTTCTGCCACATTCTGTGGCTGCTTCTCTGGTGGATTGTGCTTCGCAGATTCTAGACAAAGAAGCCAACTGCGTTAAAATCGATTGCTCTAGTGAGAACTCTAGAGTGATTGTGGTTGGAGATCTCCACGGTCAGTTACACGATCTCCTCAAGATCTTTGATCAATCAGGAAGGCCTTCACAGAACCAACGGTTTGTGTTCAATGGTAATTACATTGGTCGAGGTTCTTGGAGCCTAGAAGTCTTCTTGGTTCTCTTAGCTTGGAAGGTACTTATATAGTCTTATTACTTAATATTGACATGAAAAAAGCATAAGAATTAAGGCTTTAGATAGTTTTTTTTCTTTCATTCTCATCTGATCGATACTTGTTGTTTCTAACTACAGATTCTGATGCCTGAGAATGTAGTTTTACTTAGAGGAAGCTCTGAAACAAGAGTTTCTGCGGAAGAGCTTTATTTCTTGAAAGAAACATGTGACAGATACGGCGAGAACGGTCCAATGCTATACGCCAAGTGCATCGACTGTTTCAAGATGTTACCTTTGGCGTCGGTGATATCAGATAGCGTCTACACAACTCATGGAGGTCTCTTTCAAAGCTCTCGTGTCCAAGAAGATGGCGCGAATCCGACTTTGTTGTTGGGTTCTTTAGAGGAGCTTGACAAGATTGAGAGGAGACAAGTTGGTGAGAATGATGATGAGAATACAACTCTTAACCATGTTTTATGGTCTTGTCCATGGATGGCTGATGGTCTGAGCGAAAGTAATTACAAGGGACTTCTTTGGGGAGCTGATTGCACAGAGAGTTTCCTAAAACAGTCAAACTTAAAGGTAAGCGAAGAAGTTCTTTGGGCAAAAACTGCTACTAATCCAAAATGAAACTGAATTTGTTTGTTTTGCTTATTGTAGATGATTATAAGATCACATGAAGGTCCTGATGCAAGAGCAGATCGAGAAGACATGGGAAACATGTTAAGTGGGTACTCGGCAGATCATGAAGTTGAATCTGGAAAGCTTTACACAATCTTCAGTGCCTCAATGTTCTCACAGGTCATTTTCCTTAACAACAAACATAATCTGGATGCTCTCTGTTTTGTTGCTTTTCCAACTGGTTCCTTCGTTTATTTAGGGTTCAAGAAACTATGAAAACGAAGGCGCGTATGCTGTTCTTGAGCCTCCCAACTTCACAGAACCCAGATTTGTTTCTTACACTGTCGAAAATGTTCCAAGGGTAAAGAAAAAAACAAAAAGATGGAGACTTCTCACTTTTTTATAATTTGTCTTAGGCTTATTATGTTTGCTTTCTTCTATAGTTACAGGTTCAAATGAGGAGTGATGGATCATCATCTCGCCAAGTGCAAACGTGGGAAAACAGAACGGGAGATGGTTTTGCATCAATGGGGATTTCAAATCCGCCTTCTTGGACCGTTCCTCTGCCAAGTGAACCGAGTCAGATCCTTCAGCTTCGAGAGCCTCCTCATGTCTTTGAAGGTCTTCCACTTCCTAACACGATTGAGGTAATGACAATGATCTCACAATACTAATGGTTTTTTTAGTGAATCTATTGATGGTTTATGATGATTGATTAAGATCTTTGATTACTGTATTATTATATGATATGATCGCAGGAGCCTCACAAATCAAACTACGACTACTTGTTCAGACTCATAAGCGCTCTTAAACAGGAGATTCAAACCAGGGTATACATACAACAACACGTATATAAAGCTCTTTTTAGTTTCTTCACAAGCACGTAATCTCTCGTAAAAGACTGACATGTAGAGTTGTGTTTTTTTTTTCCATTCGCAGGACAACCGCGAGAAAGAATTGGTAAGCCATGAAACGAATATTTTTTTTTAAGAATGTGAAAATGTTTGATGGATTAGTGAAATCATTTGAGTCATATGAACAAACTGTAGATGGATCATTTGACGAAGACGAAAGCTACATTGGAGGTCATAAGCCAAATGTCATCTTCGCTCTGAGACCATTCAGACCCAAACCCAACGATTTTGCTCTTTTGTTTTTACTTTGTTTTTATCTCTGTAATTTACATTTTATCCCACTGTAACATAATTGGTTTTAGCATTTTGTTGTCAATAGTACTGTATCAATCAATTCATTTTCGAAAAATAGTTTTCGGAGTTTGTACGTTCTTCGGAAAAGGCAAATTCAAACAGAAAAATCTTATTCAAAAAACAAACAGCCAACTTGGTCACAAAATTAATGATGGTCTTTTCCCAACGACACATAAAAGGTCGACATAACTGAATTGTTGTTTGACCAGTTCTTTTGTAGTCAACGTTGGACGTCGATTGCTATTTATGGCTAAATAATTTCTCAATTATACTCCTTGGATCTTCAAACACTCTTGACCCTAATCGTATACTTATAGCAATATATCAAATATTTACTTATTTTTCCTTCTTTAAACTATTTAACAACACTATATTAAGCAAAAAAAGACAAAACAAAAAGTGAAGTGAATCGTTGTGAAAATGAAAGAACAGAAAAAGAGTGAATTGAAATTGAATCGGAGTAGATCTTAGTAATAATTGGAGAAAAGGAGAGGTGATTGCATTTAAAGACTTTCCAAAATTTCAAAAGTTTCCCTCCAAAGTCCAAAGTCCAAACGCTTTTTTTTGTTTTTTGTAGATCGAAGTCGAAAGAACAACTCTGCTTCTCGTGATTCTCATTAATGCTCTCTCTCTCTCGTCAATCCCGATTCTGATTTCTCTTTTTAATCTCTCATTCTCTCTCTCTGTCCTTCTGTTTAAATCTCTTCGCTTTCGCGATCGATATTGCGTTGAACTCCGCCGGGAATTTTATCTGGCCGTTGAATTATCCGATGGATGAGAATGGAGGAGTGAGAGCAGGATGCATTCGGATCAGGTATCGGTCACCACGGAAAATCATGGCTCGGTGGTTCTCCTCGCCGAGGAAGGTCAAAGGGAAGAAGAAGGCTATGGCGGAAGGACGAGTGAGAGACTGTGACCCGGTTCGGATCATAAATTTCTCGGAAGATGGTCATGGCGTCTGCAAAATTTCAGATTCGCCACCACAGACAATCGACTCCGGTAAATACTTTTGTTTCTCACAATTTTTTTCAAATTTTACAGAAATCTCCCTTTAAAGTTTATCGATCGGTTACGTTTATAAAGAGTGATGAATGTTTTAGGAGTATGATTCTTCATGTCACTTAGATTATTAATGTGAAAATTGAAAAATAATCAGAGAACCCAATTGTTTGAAGAATTAAGGAATAAATGATTATGTATGAGCTGAATTGTAATTTTGACATATCTGTTGGTATGTAGTAGAGGAGCTGCGACGAAGGGAGTTTTTGTTCAGCATTGGAGTGAGTTGTTATCTTCTACATCTGATTGCAACAGGTAGAGAAGAGATTCACAAGATAGTCGAGCTACGTAACGATTTAGAGAAGTTACTTGAATGTAAGAACGACGAGCTGAGGCGAAAACAGCAAGAGTTTGTCAATTTACGTAGCGATATAGAGAAGTTTCTAGAATGTCACAACGACCAAATGGGGCTGAAACAGCAAAAGTTACTCTTTGGTGCGAAGCAAGAGCAAAGCGAAACATCTCCGTATTCCACCACAAGTGACGTTGTGGTAGATGGTCCAGAATCTTCTACTGATCACTATTACTCTCCACAGTTCTTGGAAACATCTTTGTCTGTCGGACATGAAGGCTCTTTGAAACATTACCTATTCAAGGGAGGGGAAGAAATGGATCAGCTTGAAGCAGAACTCGAAGCTGAGTTTGAGCTTCTAAAGATTAGTCAAGACCAAGAGAGTAAATGTTCTAAGCTCAATGTAAGTATCTGACTTTGAATTCCTGATATCAATGTCAATTCATTTTACTGATATGTTATTGTGAAACGATTCACAGGATATTTCAGAGCAGAGTGAAGATTCAGAAGGATTGATGTTAAGAGAGATGATGATGTGTCCAGGACCAATGGAGGAACGACAAGGAGTGTGTCCGTATGAGCTGGAGAGGAGGCTTCACGAGCTGTTGGAGACAAGACAAGAAGAGGAGATAAAGGAGCTTGAGTTTGCATTGGAAGATGCTAAACTAAGGCTCCATTCCAAGGAAGCTGAAGCCTCTTGGTGGAAAGACACTGCTTATATAATCTCTGAACATATTCCACAACCTTCTAGAATCACCTCCAACTCTCACTCTCATCGTTACCCTCTCTCTCGGTGAGAAGTTTGTTAATTTCATTAGAATAAGAATCAGTCCTGATAAGAATGTCTGTAATTTTTGTGAAGAATCTACATGTTATTTGCCTTATTGTTCCAATATGAGGTGGAACATATATATTACAAAAGAAATGTGATTTTTTTGGCAGTGAAATCTCTTCTTGAGATGAAAGTTTGTAAATAATTTACATTTTGCAATTTGCATTTCTATAAATAAAGTTTCAAAATGAAATGTGTTTTTGCTGCCTATAGCTATGGTTTTGATTCTATACTTTATGAAGATCTATCAGAGACTTCATAGTTCAAGTAAATCTATGACACTGATATACAATTAAGAACAAAAATCTACATTACATGGGGGCATTTACTATACTTTATGGTCCAGTACTCCAGTTTATGAATGTAGTTGGGCATAAATTAGCCTGATGTCGATGGATCTCGATCCGGTTTTGGTTTTTTACGCCTCGTATTTAATTTTCGCAATTTCTTAATATAATTTTCTTTTGGTTGGCAAAATGTTCTGAGTCAATTAGCTCATAGGGAAGAAAGCAAAAAGTTCCGAAGCTGGTTAGACTCAAAGTCAACAGCAGTGAGAGAGGAGGAAGCGTCATGGCAAGAGTCGTCGAGTTGGATTCTGGCTCTGGAGTTTCCGATGTACGACTGAGCCTTGACTCGATCAGAGAATCGTTGATTAGGCAAGAAGACACCATCGTTTTCAGCTTGATCGAGAGAGCTAAGTTTCCGCTAAATTCCTCTGCATTCGAGGAATCTCGCTGTCTAGATTCCGGAATTTCATCTTCTCTCACCGAGTTTCTCGTCAGAGAGATCGAAATCCTCCAAGCTAAGGTCCACAATCCCATTTAAAAGCTAGAAACATAGATCAATTGCATCGGTTGATTCGGCTTTCTGAAGCATTTTCATAGATAGCTACAAAGTCAATTTGGATCTCAACAGTTGAAAATTTTCATGTAATTATAGGTAGGAAAATACGATAATCCAGAAGAAAATCCTTTCTTCCTTGAGAACATTCCTCACTCGGTTTTTCCTACGCACAAATATCCACCGGTATGTAGTATAAACTATAAAGCATTTTACTTGGAAGAACATAATGTTTGAATCTAACAATACTTTTTTTCTTTGCTCTTGATTAGGTTCTGCATCCTAAGGCTTTATCCGTGAACATAAACAAACGCATTTGGGATGTTTACTTCAAAGAAATGCTTCCTCTGTTTGTCAAACCAGGCGATGATGGCAACTATCCATCAACTGCTGCTAGTGATCTCGCTTGTTTACAAGTAAGGAATTTCAAATAAGCCACGCTTACATTTAAATGTGGTTTTATATCTGATTTGATGTTTGATCTTGTGTGTAAGGCTATTTCGAGAAGGATTCATTACGGTAAATTTGTTGCTGAGGTCAAATTCAGAGATGCTCCACAAGATTACGAGCCTGCCATTCGCGCCAAGGTAAAATCACTGTCAATAATGTGGATTCGGTTTTGAATATGAAACGAGGTCACCAAAAGTGTTGTGTTTCTGAAAACTTTTGGTAGGATACAGAGGCTTTGATGAAGCTTTTGACTTTTGAGAAAGTAGAAGAAATGGTTAAAAAGAGAGTCCAGAAGAAAGCAGAAACGTTTGGACAAGAAGTAAAGTGCGGCGTCTCTGGTGATGATGAAAAGAATTATAAAGTTGATCCGTTGATTGTCTCTCGTATCTATGGAGAATGGCTTATCCCTCTCACTAAGGTCGTCGAGGTTGAGTATCTTCTACGTCGTCTCGATTGAAAATCTGGGACCTGAAACAAGAAGTAATAATATCATTCTAAACATTTTGAATATAAAGCAAATCCAGAGGATGATGAGTCCTATCTCTTGTCCACAAACTCTTACAGTCATGATAAACCAACCCGATTTGATCTGAACTTAAACCGTAAAAATTGATATGACCGTAAATTATAAGCAAAATCCGACCGGGATTGATTTAATCAGCACCCAAAATTGGCCTGGTTTATGTGGGCCTTAGTTTTAAGTGGGCCTATTGACAATGTCAGGATATGATAGAATAATTGAATGAACAGTCATCACTCACTATATTAATTTTTTTATCAAGGATAAAAAGAGCGAAAGAGTCGCCAGTGTTTCGCTATCGAAAAAGGATTATTTATATCTGATGATTATCCATTAGAAAACCTTCAAACTCTCCACTCAACTCTCGTCAGCTGTCTCTTGCTCCTACTCTAGGGTTCTCTCGACCTCCACTATTCCGATCTGTTCTTCTCTCTCTCTCTCTAAGCTCAGGTTTGAATCTCTTCTTCTTCGCTAGCTTTAAGAAACATTTCTGTATATTATATGGTATTAATCAGATTGAGGAGGTTTCTAGTTTTAGGATTCTTCAAAAATACTCGGCTTAAGTTTCCTCTATAGCTTTTTGTTGCAGATCATGTTCGTTTCGATCAACTTTCGTTAGATTCGTCTTCTAGCTCTTGAGTTGATATCCGATGATTGTTATTGCTTCCTTTTTTAGATCTCGTTTTCAGTAGTGAGTGCTATAGTATTTCTGATGATCTGTTCCCAAAAATAACTGATTTGACTTTTTGATTTTGATAGGGAAAGATGCAAGCTGTGATTCGCTCGTTCGTCTCCGGTGGAAATGTTGTCAAGGCCTCTCTGCTGCAACATGTCCGTGTGATTAACCCGGCGATCCAGCCTTCTGTGTTCTGTTCACGCTCCGAATCCACTCAGTCTGCTCGTATGGAGGAGCATGGATTCGAGAGCACAACCATTTCTGACATTATGAACGCCAAAGGCAAAAGCGCTGATGGATCTTGGCTTTGGTGTACCACTGATGACACTGTTTACGAGGCTGTTAAATCCGTATGTTATTCATATCTCTCTCTCTCTGCCCTTTCGATTGTTATACCTATCAGATTTTGGAATTGGTGTGTGTTTGCTTTTGTTAGATGACACAACACAATGTTGGTGCCTTGGTGGTTGTGAAACCTGGTGAGCAACAATCTCTCGCTGGGATCATTACTGAGAGAGGTAACACAAATTTGACTGTTACGTGAAGTTTCTTTTTGTGTGTGTCTATATATGTTAAAGTTTGTGTGTGATTTTTTTAGATTATCTGAGGAAGATCATAGTGCAAGGGAGATCATCCAAATCAACAAAAGTTGGGGACATTATGACTCAAGAGGTATGAAAATTCACCATTTTATATGATTTCCTTGCTTTTGGGGATTAAACCGAACGGAATCTGTGAAATTGGCAATTGCAGAATAAGCTTATCACCGTGACACCGGAGACCAAGGTCTTGCAGGCTATGCAGCTGATGACTGGTAAGTAGACAACTTATACTCTCTCCATTAAAGATCCTAATAAGGCAAGTTAACAATCGGTTTGTGATTGTTTATGGTACAGATAACCGGATCAGGCACATTCCAGTGATCAAAGACAAGGGTATGATCGGGATGGTGTCCATTGGAGACGTGGTCCGTGCAGTTGTGAGTGAGCATCGAGAGGAGCTCAACCGCCTGAATGCGTTTATTCAGGGAGGTTACTAAGACTTCCGTCTTGTGTCCGGTTCTAGTGCTTGATGATCTCGAAAGCTTTTAGATCAGTGTATATATGGAGTCTTCGTTGTTGGTTGTTATCTGATGTTTGTTGTTGTTGTTGTTATGTTGTTGTTATGTTGGTTAACTTGTCAAGACTAAGATCTTGTGCTTCTCTTATTGTGAAACTTCTGCAAGAGAATAAAAACCAAAGACTCCATCTTTTTATGGAAAGATTACGATATTTGTTTTCATTAGTAGTAATCAAAGTTTCTGTCTTTGTCCAACTCACAGTTGAAGACTTTTTCAATAACTCAATTGTGATCATAATATGTAATCACCTCTTGTATCTCACATTTCTCACCCAAATACTATTATCATAAGTTGATAAAAAAATTGTGAGTGTTATTATCATGACAAATTATTTCCTAATCATGTTTTATGATATGGTGGGATGATTCATCGATTAAGGACTAGTACTTGGCAAGACTTCATGAGTGATACGTACGTGGCGAGTTATAAAAGGTTGATAAGGATCCAACAGAACCAAGCCAAACCGGAATGATAAACCGGGACGTACTGTATCTCACATAACAGCAGACCATTACACGCGGTCTTGAGTCTCGATTCTCGAAGGGTATAAGAGAATAAACAAACTGTAGCTTAGCTTCAGATCTGGCCATATTTTCTTTCTTCTTCCATTTGTGGAACAGCCATGGCTACGGAGTTTCGGAGCTTATCGGAAACTTCTGGATCCGCGATCGCCTTGATTCTTCTGCTCTTCATCCATGGTGTTCACTCTTTCTATCTCCCTGGCGTCGCTCCTCAGGATTTCGAAAAGGTAAACGTTCGAATTTGTGCTTCTAGGCTTTTGGATCTGAATTGGATCTCCTGGATCTGCGTTAGGTCTAGGGAATGGTTTTGATTTGTTTTAGGAGTTAAATCGTACTTGATCCGCGAGAAAAAAAGCTAGAGAAAATAACAGTCGGTGTGCTGATGCACCGACTTTTGGTTGAGCTTAATTGGTTTCCGCCGAGGCTTTAGTTTCACTTCATTTCCGCTTCACGAATCTCTCGATCTGAACAATGTCGACATTTTAGGCGAGCTACATCGACATTATTTCTTCTAGATTAGTCATTTTCATGGTGATTTGATTGCTTTAGTTAGGTTCCTAGTGATCGCTCTCTCTTTGGCTCTTGATTCGCCGTTACTACGTACGAGCGCGATGTCGGTCCTGCATGCTATATTACGAATCTCAATCAGATAATATACTTCAAAAGATTGAGCAGAAAAGACGTAATCATATTCAAATGCGAGTCTGATATTCTGGTTATTCCTCGTATGCAGGGTGATGAGCTGAAGGTGAAAGTGAATAAGTTAACATCCATAAAGACTCAGCTTCCATACTCGTATTACTCTCTTCCTTTTTGTCGCCCTAAGAAGATAGTGGACAGTACTGAGAATCTCGGAGAAGTGCTTCGTGGTGATCGGATCGAGAATGCCCCATATTCGGTTAGTCTCTATCACTTTTTTGCTGTCTAAGATTCCATGTCTGTAATTTCATCTCTTAACCCTTACGGAATTGGTATAACTGCAGTTTAAAATGCGGGAGGCACAGATGTGTAATATTCTTGGCCGGGTCACTCTTGATGCGAAGTCAGCCAAAGCGTTCAAAGAAAAGATCGATGATGAGTACCGAGTCAACATGTAGGACCATAAATAGAAACTTTTCCATGATTCTTATTATGAAGAACATGCTTTTCTCTGACAGTTTTCTTACAAGGCTTTCTTTGTACTATTTGTTAGGATCCTCGACAACCTTCCTCTTGTCGTTCCAATTGAAAGACTGGATCAAGGTTCTCCAGCTGTTGTTTATCAGCTCGGATATCATATTGGTCTTAAAGGCCAGTACGAGGGGGTAAGTAGGCTTCGATTGTCAACACTGTATCGAATGCATGCGAAATAGCTCTTAAATTTCTAAATTTCCTTTTGCATACACAGAGCAAAGAGCAAAAGTTCTTTATGCACAATCACTTGGCGTTTACAGTCCGGTATCACAGAGATTCGCAGACTGATGCTGCAAGGATTGTGGGGTTTGAGGTCAAACCATACAGGTGCATTTCTTGTCCATAATTTGATTGACTCCTGGGATCCCGCCCTTTAGTACTGATAGTCCTTCCCTTGATTTCTAGTGTTAAGCATGAATATGAAGGAGAATGGAGTGAGAAGACCCGTCTGACGACCTGTGATCCTCACACAAAACGTCTGGTCGTTAGCTCAGCTACCCCTCAAGAAGTTGAGCAAAAGAAGGAGATTATATTCACATATGATGTCGATTTCCAGGCAAGTTATTTGTTTGTCTTAAATAAAAGCTATGCTGTTTCTGTTCTCAATATTTTTCTGATTTCCTGCTGCTGCCGTTGTTGTCCAGGAGAGTGAAGTGAAGTGGGCATCTAGATGGGATGCTTATCTTCTGATGAGTGATAACCAAATTCACTGGTTCTCTATCGTCAATTCCCTGATGATCGTCCTGTTCCTGTCTGGTATGGTGGCAATGATAATGCTGAGGACTCTTTACCGTGACATTTCACGCTACAACGAGTTGGAGACTCAAGAAGAAGCTCAAGAAGAGACAGGATGGAAGCTTGTCCATGGTGATGTTTTCAGGCTTCCAACCAATTCAGATCTGCTCTGCGTCTACGTTGGTACAGGGGTCCAGTGTTTAGGCATGGTACTCGTCACTATGATCTTCGCCATGCTCGGATTTCTCTCCCCTTCCAATCGCGGTGGTCTGATGACGGCCATGCTCCTGCTCTGGGTCTTCATGGGTCTCTTCGCTGGTTACGCCTCCTCACGTCTCTACAAAATGTTCAAAGGAACAGAGTGGAAGAGAATCGCCTTCAGAACAGCCTTCTTGTTCCCTGCAGTTGTCTCATCCATCTTCTTCGTCCTCAACGCTCTCATCTGGGGACAGAAGTCATCCGGTGCAGTGCCCTTCGGGACGATGTTCGCCTTGATATTCCTCTGGTTTGGCATCTCGGTTCCTCTTGTCTTTGTCGGCGGTTACATCGGTTTCAAGAAGCCAGCGGCTGATGACCCAGTGAAAACCAACAAAATCCCGAGGCAAATCCCAGAGCAAGCTTGGTACATGAACCCGGTTTTCTCAATCCTCATTGGAGGAATCTTACCGTTTGGTGCAGTCTTCATTGAGCTCTTCTTCATCCTCACATCCATCTGGCTCAACCAGTTCTACTACATCTTCGGGTTCCTCTTCCTCGTGTTTGTAATCCTCATCGTTACTTGCGCCGAGATAACAGTAGTACTCTGCTACTTCCAGCTTTGCAGCGAGGACTACCTTTGGTGGTGGAGATCTTACTTGACATCAGGCTCATCAGCTCTCTACCTCTTCCTCTACGCGACGTTCTACTTCTTCACAAAGCTTCAGATCACCAAACTGGTCTCGGCGATGCTTTACTTTGGGTACATGCTCATCGCGTCTTATGCATTTTTTGTGCTCACAGGAACCATTGGGTTCTATGCTTGTCTCTGGTTCACACGGCTCATCTATTCCTCGGTTAAGATCGATTAGTGGATGATGATGGACTGACGATGATGATGGTGGTGGTGATTAAGGAACAAAGAAGGAAAGGTGATTATAGTTTATCTTTTTTGAAAATGGTTTTGTTGCATTTTAGGTCTATTTTGTTGCAGAACAAAAGAATTTTTAATATATGTAAACGTTATAATAGTGTATTTTGTTTGATTTGTCTAATAACACACTTTTTGAAAATCTTTGCAAGTGATTTACTGAGAAATTCATTCGTTCCTATGTAAAAGCTTTTACATTACATTCATTCAGTTTTATAATGTTACCGATAGAAGCTGTAATTGAATGGTGTTTAAACGTAATGTTCTTTCGAATGAAAACGTTATTATGAGAAAAATGGAAGCAAACCATTTAAACTTATAAATTCGAGTGAATTGCAATTGTGATGCTTTAGTTTGATTGATCATCATCATCAAACTCCAACTTTTCCTGCAATCATAAAAGCTTTGTAAACGACGGGACGAATCAGACCAGATCCTCCCCAGGCGGTCTCAAGCTCTCTCACCAAACTCTCCGGTAACAAATCGACGCCTTTCTCTTTCGCCGTCACGATAGCCGACCATGATTTGATCATCCTTATGATCCCTTCAAACGAGGTCGTTTTAGGCATCTCCAGCTTCAATGGCTTCCCTTCCGATCCCATCCCCACACTCTCGAAAGGAAACGGCAATGCATCGTACGAATCGAAGACGTGCTGAATGTTCGGATACTTCCAATACGGCAGCGTTTGGGCGTGGAACCGATACTGGACCGCGTCGAACTCCGGTGTCACCAAGACGTCGTTGTAGCCCCACACGGCGATAATTCCGCCGGGTTTACGGAGGACGCGCGTCGCAACTGCGTAAAATCTAGGGAGATCGAACCAGTGTACGGCTTGAGCGACTGTGATCAGATCAACCGAGTTCTCTCCTCCGATTAGTTCCACTAGCTCGTCGTCGGTCATCGAGGACGGCGTATGGCGATAGTCGATCTTCGGATGCGGCGTTGCCACCTTCAGCTGCGATTCGCTCACGTCCGTCGCTATGACTCTCTCGTAGTGATCTGCAACCTGTTCACACGGCCAAGTTTGTCAAAATGCAAGATCTGATGCATGTTGTAGTTCATTCGAATACAAAACATGAGGCTATATCTATCAAATCCGAGATCCAGTGCTGTTAACAAAGTTCATGAACATCAGATACTAACGGCGAGAGCAGCTTGGCCATTGCCGGTGGCGGCATCCCATGCTAAACCGTGGTGATCGGTGAGATCGGCGAGCTTCGAGAACCACTCCGATGGATAATTTGGTCTGGCGTCTAGGTACAGATCAGCTTGTTTATCAAATAATCCTGCCATTTTCTTTGTGTTTTGATTCTTTCTTCTCCTTGTTCTGATTTACTCATATATAGTAGTCTCTTTCGCTTGTGGGATTCTCACAGACAATGACCTTCAAAGAAGCCGACGAATTAGCTTCTGCAACCTGGCTTTACTTCTTTTTTAATTTCTTTTCAGTATTTGTTGACATGGATTAGGATTTTTGAGTTTAGCTGGAAACATGAAACATTGACTTTTTTTTATTTTATTTCAAGGTTTATCAATCGTGCTGTGATGAACTTCACAAGCAATTTGGTTTTGATTTTGTGGAATTTAAGTATAGTACTATAGTAGTTGGGAAAAAACGTCATTGCGTACAGTGTCAACAAATTTGACAAGTGGGAATTTTTAAAGCACATCTTTCGTTTTTCCCGTGTGTGAATATGTAGAAAGCTGTTTCTTTACAATAACTTTATTTTATTTTATGTTGCCTAACTTCCAGATCCAATGTTCATCTCCTCCTCAAACAGTAAACACCATGGAGACGCTAGAAACTGAAAAACCTCTGGTCAAACCTATTTTTGATCATTCTGAGAACAAGTCAAAAGCAAGAAGAAACGCTGTCGTCTCAGCTCTGTTTCAGCCCTTTCAATGGCTACAAATGCTATGCCATCGACTAAATCCAAGCTTTGTCCTTGGAGTCGTCCTCGTGTACGGTCTAAACCAAGGATTCTCTGGGTCTTTCTTCAAAGTCGTCACGGATTATTACTGGAAAGATGTACAGCAAGTGCAGCCATCCGTTGTGCAGCTTTACATGGGATTATATTACATCCCATGGGTCTTGAGACCTATTTGGGGTCTCCTCAGCGATGTTTTCCCGATCAAAGGTTACAAGAGAAAGCCTTATTTTGTGGTTTCTGGTGTTCTTGGTTTGGTCTCTGCGATTGCAATTGTAGTTCTTGGCAAGTTGCCCGCTGCTCTGGCTTTGACCTGCCTCATAGGTGTCTCTGCAGCTATGGCTATTGCAGATGTGGTGATTGATGCGTGTATAGCAACAAACAGCATCAATATCAGATCTTTGGCTCCTGATATACAGAGCCTTTGTATGGTTTGTTCGTCTGCTGGTGCTTTGGTCGGATACGCAACTAGTGGAGTCTTTGTTCACCGGTTTGGACCTCAGGTTGAGCTCTTTTGTATTGCAATCCTTGATAAAACTTGCACACTATTCGGCCTATCTGTCTATTTCTCTCTTCTGAGAGTTTCTAGTGTTGTATTCTTGTTGATAGGGAGCATTAGGGGTATTAGCATTGCCACCTGCAACGATTGTCATACTTGGGTTTTTCATCTACGAGAAAAGATCTTCTACTGTCCTTGTACAGAAAAACAAAAAGGTGAGAGCTCTGCCTGAAATCCAAACTCTTTTGATCTCTCTCACAAGCATTTGCGTTGTAAAGTTAGAATCTTGATGAAACTTTGAGCAATCGTTGAATGTTCTTCAGGACACGGATGGCATAGGAATAGCGGTGAAAGGAATGTACAAAACAATAAAGTATCCCCAAGTATGGAAGCCATCACTTTACATGTTCATATCCTTAGCTCTCAACTTCAGCACTCATGAAGGTTACTTCTACTGGTACACTGACTCTACAGATGGGCCCGCCTTTTCCCAGGTTGGTTCTATGGTCTCACATGGTCACAAGAGTATAGAATTCAGATGAGAAACCTGAAGAATCCCTCTGTCAAATATATTGTTTTAGAGAATAGAGGTTATTGGTCAAATGGTTTGGGATTGACAGAGATTGAGTTCATGTGAACCTAGTAACAAGACAGATTCTTCAACCAAATATACAGCTATGAGCTAGATTCAACTCCCTTGTTCTTTGGTCTAACTGCAGGAGTTTGTGGGTGTAATCTACGCAATCGGGGCATTGGCATCGATGTTTGGAGTTCTCATATACCAGAAGAAGCTCAAAGGCTATTCGTTTAGGAACATACTCTTCTTTGCACAGCTTCTATACGGCTTCTCAGGAATGCTTGATCTCATTTTCATCAAACGCTGGAACTTAACTCTCGGGATACCCGATTCCTTCTTTGTGATAGCCGAAGAATCTTTCTCAAGGAGCATAAGTAAGATCAGGTGGATCCCGATGGTCGTGCTCAGCACAAGGCTCTGTCCTCTGGGAATCGAAGGCACTTTCTTTGCTTTCCTCATGTGCATTGATAGTCTCGGACAGCTTGCTTCTAAATGGAGTGGAGGGCTCGTTCTTCACGCTTTTGGTGTCACCAGACACGAGTTTGGGAATCTCTGGCTCGTGATTCTTCTCAGGAATGTCCTCAGATTCGCTACCTTGTCTTTCATTTTCCTCGTTCCGGATTCTGATCATTTGGATGATCTTGTGCCCTCTGATGTGTTGCCAAAAAACGAACCACAAGAAGATGATGATGATGATATTAAACTTTTGCTTCTGTAAAGGAGACAAGTAAAACGGATTTGTAATTTTGTAACATGTCGTTTATCATATTTAAAAGAGAATACGTGTTGTTAGTGACAGAAACAGCTTGTAGTTTTTTCGTATCTTAAATGGAGTAAACGCTGTTTTGGCTGACTCTCTCTCATTTGACGCTTTTGCCCCTCGATGCTTTTTCTCTTTTTGTCCTCCTCTCTTCTTCAACAGTAGACGGAGAGCCAGTGTGAAACTTAAATCGTTCGTCTTCGTCGTCTAGCCCCAAACTCTGTTATCAGAATCAAACTATCACTCGAGGATGGTAATCGATTTCTTCTCTTTACGTCCATCATACGCAGTTTCGTTGATTCCATAGTCAATCCCGTAGAAATCCGAGCATAGTCGTTTGATAAATGAATTCTGATTTCGTTTTCACTGAAACTAGGTTTTCGATTTTCTCTCCTTGTCTGCTGATTTCTCGTTCGTATTCGGAAAATTAGGGTAAAATTTAGTTTTGATTCTCTGAGTTGTTATAAGCTGACTATGCTCAGCTTTCTCTTTGCTGCGTAGGCTAATCATAGTAACAGTAGGCACACCATCATCTTGTTGCAAAACTCTCCAAACAGAGCTACAAGGACGTTTATGGATTACGACTCTATAGGCCAAGCTATGGATGGTAACTAATATTTCGAATCATCATCATTCTGCAACTCACTGTTGACTTTTCGTTATGACTATGTTGAGTTTTATTCTTTGTGTGGATAGTTTGGGAATTACGACTTTGCTCATCTGCTAAAATGTCTGGTTATGAACAGGTATTTGTGGCTTATACGAAAGGAAGTTGAAGGATATCAATCCATCTCTCAGGAATCTTCGTTATGACATTACTGATCTTTACAATTTCATTGACGGTCTTGCTGACATGAGCGCTTTGGTGTAAGTCTTGCCCCCTTTCTCTCTCTTTTCTTTTGCCCAAATGCTATGCAATACTAGGGCACTGTCAAATTCAACATGTTCTTCGCTTTCAAATTTGCTGTTTGTTTAGTTTCATGGTTTGCTTAAAAACTGGTTATTGCACGGCAATCATTAGTCAATGTTCCAATGCTTCTGACAAAGCCTTATGGTGAATCTTTGTGATCTATGCAGGTATGAACACTCGATGAGTGCGTATCTGCCATATGACAGGCAATGGATTAAGCAGAAGGCATTTCACCATCTCAAGAGGCTTGCCAATGGAGGCAGATGAAGGACACCACTTCCAAAACATTTAAGGCTTAAGAGATCCCACTCGAAACACCATCACTTCATTATATATATATATATATATTTTTTTTTTTTTTTTTCTTTTAATGTAACAAGATATATGCTTATTAAGAGTATGGTGTTGCTGTCCCTTGGATGTGTTTTAACATAAAAGTAACTTTGCTATCCAAATCTTTTGTCGCAATTATTGCCCTCTCCTGCGTGAAGTCATCTACTTTGATTAGGGGTTAATTTTCTGTAACTCGTAGAATCAGTAACAGATTTACCAGTTCTTCGTTGTAAATAAACACAACAAAGATTTAGGATAAAATATTTGAACACGCTCAGAAGAAGAGAAGAAACAATTAATGAAACCAACGATCAACAAACTTGCGGGGTTCCTTATTTTTCTCTAAATAAATGCCGTCAGGTCTGGCAATCCATAAGCGCCTCTCACCACATCGACGTGTATTGGCTCCTCTGTAGGCAGGCCACAAGTCATGAAAGAGCTTCTTACCAGTTTTAGGATCAGGATGCCTCAAAAGACAACGCCATATTGTTCTTGACGTCCTATGTTCTCCGAATTTAAAGTGGTATGAAGTATTGAATACCACATCGTGGTCGCCTATTTTGTTATCTTTTGACGTGCAATTTACTCTGAGAACAGTGCGGGGATCGAGTTCATTTCGGAACTCTAATGTGTTTTTTTCGCAATCCCAAAACCAAAAACCTCCACCTTCGCTTAAACGAAAGCAAGCATAAATCACTAATAGAAAAACTATGAAATAATGATTCATTTCCTCAGAGTTAAAAGTATACTTTGGAGTAATATGAATCTAAAACCATCAAAGTGTAGTATTTATAGTTTTTTTGTTCTGGTAAAAGAGTTACGTTCACTCATTAATAACCTTTTAAGGCAGCATTAGCTAAATTTAATCACAAACATGAACCAATTATGTTTTTTAAGGTATTTAATGTCGAATTGTAAGGTTAACCGATTAAATAAAAATCAAATAAACTCAACCTTACAGATTATTGTTGACCACTAAAAAATTAAGCCTAACCAAAAAGAGCTCAAGCCACGAGAGAGACGATCACGATAGAAGCAGAGATCGAGACAGAGATTGCCGCAGACGAGGCATGAGATGAGGTGATTGTTTGTTTGATGATCTCCCAGTTTCATAGATTTCTGAGTTTCTAGCATAAGTTCCATGTGAGACACTTGCTAAGCATAAGAAGACGACACTTTCTTGTTGACGCGACGTCACTATCAAACTCGTGTTCGTTAAAATCTTTTCAAGAAATGATGAATCAAACGGCTAAAAGATTTCCAAAGAAAAGCCAATAAAAGAAAGAAACTGATGTAGCGAAGAAGAAATTTAATGATTAAACTTGGCTTTCAAATATTTAGCATAAACCTTAAATCAATGAAAAAAAAGTATTAAGGGTAAAATGCTTCAAAATCTTTGGCCAAGTGAAAAAAAAAAAAAAGTCAGCAATCAGCAAAGGGAAATGCATCAGCCATGGCGATAACTTGATAACTCAACTCCTTATGAGCCTTTTGAATGACTTTCTCTTGTGCATAGAACAACATATAACACTCACACGCCCTCACAACTTCTTCTTCAACCTCGTTGATCCATGCATCATCACATCTATACCAAAGCCCTTTAAGCCTCAGATACGTCACGTAGTGCCCTGACGCCAACTTCCCCGAGTGAGTCACAACCGCAAATATCTCAAACTCCGCCGACGAAGCCGATGACGATGAACTATCATACTCGCCTTCTCCATCAAACGCAAATATTCTGTTCCCAAACCGCTTTCCGATGATGGAGGATGAGAGGTAAGGAGACATGTTTAAGCGGAACGGATACTGCAAGTAGCTATCGATCTTTCTCGAGGTCCTACGGGTGAGAGAGTGCTCGAAACGCTTCACGTGCAAGCAGAGAAGCAGAGGAAGTCTTCTTATGGACATTTGTTTGGACGACTCTCTCTTCTCTCCACAGCTTTGGCAGTTCAGTTTCTGGTCAGGACCAAGTTTCTCTGACCTTGTGAAGAAATCTAAGCAGCCAGAGAGTGTTGGCATGCTTGGCTTAACGCTTGGCTCGCCACTCTTTCTGTTCTTTCTGCAATCTGCCGGAGACGATCCCTTGGCTGAATCTAGAGTAAGTGAAATGTCCATAAACGGATCGTAAGTCGTTGAAGTGGATCCGCAAGTTGTGCAGGTGACATCCGATCTTAATAGACCAGAGAATGCTCTGTGAGTGATACACTGACACTCTTCATGATCTACACACCAAGCAAACAAACTCAACATCAAATCAAATAGCTTCTTGAAAGTTTCATTAATATCACATAAACAATCTCTTCTTCTAAATTAGATTTACCTTTATATAGACATTTCTTCGACTCTCCCTCGTTCTCATGGATACAATTCAATAGCGAAATAAAGAACTCATGAGAATCTTGCTGCTCATATGTAGCTAGATTGCTTGAGTGCTTCCACCAACTTCATCCACACAACAAATAAAGGATCAAATCAGCATCTATATTCATGTTCACAACCATATACAACAATGTGACTTTGATCGAACCTGTGAAGCAAATGGGCAGGGCTATAAGGAGTCCGATCACCGGAGAACATTGCGGAGAAGATGGTATCAAGATCACAAGGCAAACACAGCGAGCCATCTAACCTTCTCGAACAAAGATCACGGTTATGCTGACCACTCAACCAAAAGTTCCTCAAAGGAGGAGCATGAACAAGCGCCTGCAACACAGCGTTCATGAAACAAGTGCTTCCCAGATTGTTCAAACCTCTCAACCCCAGAGGGAACGACCATTTCTCCCTCCGATCTCTAGGCGAGACCAGAAAATTCGATCCAATAATCAACTGCGAGTCCAGTCTCCTCTTCTTGTTCGATCTCACCGCAACAACATCGCCGCCGGGTTTCACAGACGCACCCAGGGCAACAAGCTGCTTAGACACGACGACCTCGTCGAACTCGGGATCGTACACTTGATCGATGCAGGAGCAGCAATAAAGCTCGGATCTTTCGACATCAATGGCGATATCGTGCCCTTTGTTCGACTGGGTGTGCAAAAGGATGTGGCTTGAGCACGAAATCGAGCGGCAGATCAAACAGGTGTAGAGCCTCCGGTGATCAACGGAGCAATAACTGCATCTGGGTATTATCTCGATTTCGCGCGGTTTGATCTTAATTCTTCCGTCGTTGAAGCATCTGAACAAGTTTTGGAAGGATTTGTAACCATCAGTACCATATCTAAGCTTATAATCAGATAAGTGATTGCAGGGATCGGGATTTTTCAGAAAACAAATCCTCGCGGACATGAAAAACAAACTCAGATTCGCTTTTTTAATATATAAAAAGAATATGGGATCAGATTATAAAAATCTCTGAGTTTCTGAGATCAATGAATCATAATCTCTTGTGATGTATAACCCAGAAAGAAAGAAAAGAAAAAAAAGATAGAAAATTTCGGATCAAGTTAGATTCATCTGTTCGCTTATGAATCACTAGAAGAACGGAAGAGGATAGAAGAAAGTTAATTAGTGGAAAATATATTTCTCTTTTTATTTCATTGATTTCTCTTTTTTCTTTTTTTGGGATTTCCTGTAAATTTCTTTTATTTCTGAGCAATCTTATAATCATTAAAGTATAACATTTTTGTCGTCCAGAGTTTTTTGAGTAGACCGACTTACATGATTCTAAAAGACTGCACTTTGTTCCACGTCTCGTGCTTCCCAAACTTGACCTAGTTTCCATAGAGATCCTACAAGTCCACCTCGTGACCTTCTGAATAGACTAGAGGGTCTTTGATTTGTTAAAAACTTAAAATCAATGAATGATAATGGATGATGAAAGCAATAAAGAGCAAAACTTTAGTCTAAAACATTATCCACTCCTGTCTATAAGAATATGAGAAACAAAAAGGTGGGCACTAGGTCCCTTCAGTGCCAATAATACATTGATAAGTTATGATGAACAATGAACATCATACTGAGAAAGTGAAAAAGCTATGGTTTATGAGTTTTATAAATGCTACAAGAAGAGAAGATCCATATGAATCTTCCCCTCATGGACAGGATTAAACAAATCACTTAAGAAGTATGTGTTGCGGTTGTCTCACAAAGTGTCTTCGTCTTCTCGCGGTTTTAGCGGATTATTTAAGATACAAGAGGCGCAGGCACATCAGTGGAAAGCGAATCCTCCTCCCGAGTGTTCAACTTCCTGAGAAAACAAAGAGGAGAAAACAAGACGTGTAGGTTGTTAAGAGATGATGAGTCAAAATGCTGGCTTCTTGCATCTTCAGGGATGATGCAGAAACAAATGAACACAAGATTTTGCTTCGGATACAAATTACCAACCTGAGGAGGGGCAAGAGATGAAACCCAATCCGATGCATGTGTTGGAAGAAGCCCCAAAGTGTTGAGCTGAGAAAATGATAAATCGTTTGTACGAGGAAACAGTACCTTCATGAGGAAAAGCGAAAGACGAAACGTGAAAAAAAGTTTATTACCTTCCAGATACCCAAAGCTAAACCTCCAAGGTTTAGGGCAAGAAACACTAATTTAGGCATAAGTAGCTCCACCTTGTTATCCTTAAATGGCTCAAAAACTGCAAACAAGGGTAAACGTCAGATGTAAGGATCAAAGATAGTAATACACAAACCAAGTTATCAAACTGTGCCCAATAGTTTGATAAGTTTAACAGTAAGACACCATATCATTTAAAGATGGGAAATAGTTTCAATCCTTGATAATAAGTGGACTTGCAAAAAAAAAAAAAAAAAAACATTCTCTTTGGTTTCAATGCACATGATGATGATGATGATAGAGACTGCTAACATTTTTCAATGCATAGTACTTTCAAAGACTGTCTAGTTCCATTTCCATATCAGGCAAAGATGAAATAAATGTAGTGAATTTTTTCTTACTTTTTCCAACACTCTGGAGGGCGCTGAGAGGCTGCCAAAGAGCAGAGAAAGTAATACCAATGCTAAATAGATGCACTGTGTTTCCAGCCATCCACATCATGAATCCCATCATCATCAAATTCTTAAATGGAGACTGCGCTACTTCCCATGCTTTCTGCTCATTCATCATGTAAACAACAAACCAATCTGTTTTAAACTTACATCCACACATCAAACCCAGCAAAAACGGGAAATTTTCCTTTTCTGATCTCATCAATTCATAATTTTTGAACAGTGAAAGATAGTCTGATGTAAGTTTCTATGACAATCCAATGCACAGAAAGTCAATGGCTTTTAAGATCTACATAGCAGAGACAAAGATCGATTTCGTCCAATTTAAGATACGACTTTCAGATTTGACATAAATATACCTGAAGTTTCCAATTAGCTTCAGCGTCTTTCTTCTGGCGGCTGTTTGCTGAATCATCCTGAAATCGAAATTGAAATCGATACAACTCAATTTCAGCTCAATTCAATTCAAACTGAAACTCGATTCCAATAGGAAAACAACAGATTCTCAAAGAGATTTCAACACAGAATCGAAAATTGAAATAAAACCTGCTCCGGAGAAGCACGAGAGAAGCCAGGAGGATCGAGGATGTCGCGGGAAGATGGAACAGTGGATTGATCTGAGAAATCGACGGCCCATCTGCGACCAGTACCCATTACTGCTTTGCCTTTATCCATTGCCTTAATTCTTCGATCGATGAAAACAGAGGAAAATTGGGAGAAGAAGAGACCTAGATCGGAATTTTCTTCAGACGCTTTTGATGTTTCCTTCTAATCGGATTTGTTTTCTGGATTTGAAACTGAGAAGGAAAGCTAAACAAACAAAAAATCTTACTCCCACTGTCCGAACCCGTTTCTTCCAGATGGGTCGGAGCCTTTTGACCCGGATTCCAGCTATTATCCGGATCTTGGATTCGTTTATTCACTAATAAGGCTTTCCCGCGACACTGGAAATTATTCACTGGGCCTTTACCGACCCGTACAGATTTTTTGCATCCAAACCGGTACAGGTTCGGTCTAATCGGTATGATTCACTGAAAAATTCGAGATTTAAATCCGATTACAAAGGGACATGTCTTAGTCGATTTTTTAAAAAAGAAACAGAAACGAAAGAACTTTTTTTTTTTTTTTAATTACTAAGAGTTTTTGAACTTTTATTTGCTTTGTTAATGTACCATTACTGATTATTTACCATTTTGATATTAGTGTTGGTCTAAAATCAATAAAGTTTTGATGAAAAAGCTAAAGATCGTGATCGATAACACACCACTTTGGATAACATAGTTTTCTCCAGTTTTGTAGTGAATGAATTTAGTTGGTCTGATTAAAACACTGCGTTTAATCAGCTTGCCTTAGGCGGAAAACAGCAATATGCACACGCAAGAGGCAAGACTAATCGTGGAGTATATTATGCATGTAGACCATCCAATAATATTATATTAACCTAGCTAAGCTTGCTTGATTTACCTAAGATACTCCTTTCATTCCTGCCTTTACATCTTCCCACTATAAACTATGAGTGGAAGTCTTAGTTAATTTAAATCTTGTATCATAATCTTAGTGGAAAAACTCCCCGGATGATAACATAACCTATATATGGTGGGTTGGAAAGCCAAAAAAAAGAGACACAATCCATGGTGGAATGTTAGTTCCCATGATGCTACGTCAGCTTTCCAACTTCTAACTACAAATTCAATAAACGATTTTCAGTAACAAAAAACACAATTATTCTTTGTTAAGTTGTCTTTTCTTTCTTTCAGATTTTCAATAATACCACAATTTTCTCTTATACTTTTTTTCTAGCCTTTTGTTGTCTTTTTAAAACATTCGATGTTGGTGTCTTTAAGCTGATTTGTGGACGTTACATTATCCCTGATAATATCATGTTAGATTTAAAAGTGACATTTGGTGTTCTGTATATTGTCAATGATTAAAAGTATAAATCATCCACACCTTCTATGGATACAATATGATCAAACCAAAAATGTAATGAATATAGCTACCTTCAATAATAGAGTGTTCAATATGTGGAACCAACGACATACATTATTTATGAGTCAAATAATCATATGTGAGTTTTTAATTAGTAAAGTACCGATCAAATAATCATATTCTTTATTACGTTTACTAGGATTTGATTTGATTTGTTTTAAAAAATAGTGACATGCAAATCAATCTGAACCAAAATAACTTTCACATGCAATCAATTTGAACGATGATAATTAAGAGTGATTCGTAAACTAACTTCCAAACGCAAACTGAACCAAAATAGAATCACTGAAAGTTAGCAAGCCAAACTATTCTGATTTCTGCGAACGCTGAACTTGGACGACTGTCGAGTTTCGAAAACACACGTAAGTAGGCAATTAGTCACTTTCTTAAGTTTCTAGAAATTATGGTACAGATTCCAGCTTTCTCCCACTTATTACACTACATTAAGATTCTTGTAAGGAATCTTTTATCTTTTGTTCCCACTTGTTCTCATTATTTTCCGGAAAATGTATAACGAGTCCCACACATCCGATTGATGGAGGTTCTTGTGGACTAATCATCTCAATCATACATGGATGTTTTCGGTTACAGATTCCAATCACTCTATTTGCCCCTGAACTGTTGTACGTTTTACACTTTCACGTAAGGAATGGTATATATACCAAATGCTTATTAAAAATTACATTAAATGATTTTCTTAAAATTGATTTCGTGAAGCAACCCCTGTTTTCCCAATTAATACAGACATATGATATATCATGTATGGTACTTACATGTGCACGCATAAGTTAGCTTGAATCGGGTGATAGGATGTGAAATAATTTTGGAAAAAGACATTGCTTTCATTTTGTTGGATACTTCATTACTCTAAATTCTTTGGATTTAAAGCACCCTTAATTATTGCTTGCACTTATTGAATTACTAGGCCTCGAAGTAACAGGAGACTTATGAATTGACGCTTCCATTGTTTGGCGAAAATATCGTAATGCAAATTACAATCATGCATATTAGTTAATTAAGGAACAAACTATAGACATGTTTTTTCAATCCATCAATTGTTAATTGGTCATTTGATTTATAGAAACTCTATTTTATGTCGCAAAAATAATTAACGAGCATCACTGCATCACACACATCCATGCATAATTTGACACCTACTTAGTTTACCACTTAATGAATAATTTAGTGGAATATAATCCCGTTCATTGTGCTGAGTGTGTGAACAAAATAACAATAATACTCATATGCCGGATGATGTGTCGCTATCTCACTGGTTAGTAAAAGCAATGGAATAGAGTCCCTTAACTTATGCGATATGTGGATGACTGGATTGCTTCTAAAATTTAACAACCTCCACTAGCTTGGGACTTTCTGAGCAAAGAGATTGGCTATAAAGGTCCAACCATTTTCGTGTTATTGAGTGACACTTATATTATTGTGTGGGCGATAAAGAAGAGATTAAAATGAGCATAAATAGGAACTTGTTGAATATCATAGTAATCCTTTGTGTATGTTTTACTTGGGGTTGCAGTGAGGGAGCTCATGAAGAAAGAGAGAGGAAAGAGATCGATTCTCATACTATTCAACTAAGCTCTCTCTTCCCTTCATCATCATCATCCTGTGTTCTTTCTTCCAGAGGTAATTTTCTTAGCCAAATCAAATTCTCATGATCAGTTGTGTTTTTGCTATAGATAAGGTAGATGAATAGAGCGTGTGTGTGTATTATTTACTATAATTACCAGTATCAGTTAGGTTATAAAAAACCAAACTGCCGCCATTAAGGGATATAGTATTAGTATCATCGCAGGACTATGAAAGCGATAGTAAGATGTTTAGTACATGCTTAACGTGAAAAACGACAATAATATGTAGCTGTAATCATTTTTTGTTAGATTGAGTTAATTCATCAGTAGAATTCTGTTTAACTCCAATTTATTTTCTTCATTCAATGGCAATAAAAGAATAATGTTTTTTTGTTTGTTTGTGAGTTGTGAATCTTGTGATGATAACTTCACGAATGGGCAATTTTTGTAACTCCTTTCTCTAACGTGAACTTATTTTTTTCAGCGTCTAATACAAAGTCCTCACTGCACGTGACGCACAGACACGGCACGTGCTCGCGTTTAAGCAGTGGCAAAGCCACGACTCCAGACCATTCCGAGATCCTCAGACTCGACCAAGCGCGCGTAAATTCAATCCACTCGAAACTGTCAAAGAAGCTCACAGACCGAGTCAGACAGAGCCAGTCAACGGATCTACCTGCTAAAGACGGAAGCACATTCGGATCAGGAAACTACGTCGTGACGGTCGGAATCGGATCACCGAAGCACGATCTGTCTCTGATCTTCGACACGGGCAGCGATCTGACGTGGACTCAGTGCCAGCCGTGTGTACGAAGTTGTTATTCCCAAAAGGAACCAATCTTTAACCCTTCATCGTCTTCTTCTTACTACAACGTCTCTTGTTCAACGGCGGCGTGTAGTTCTCTCTCCACCGCTACAGGTTCGATTTTAGCTTCTTTTGTTTCAAACTTTCAATTTTCATAGCTCCGGTTATCCGATTCCGATTCGGTTATGTTAACCGGGTTTCTCTTTCCGACGATTAGGAAGCCCTGGAAGCTGTGATGCTTCGAATTGCGTCTACGGTATTCAATACGGCGATCAATCGTACTCTGTTGGGTTTCTCGCCAAGGAGAAATTTACGCTAACGAGCTCCGACGTCTTCGACGGCGTTTATTTTGGCTGCGGCGAGAATAACCAAGGACTTTTCACCGGTGTCGCTGGACTTCTCGGTCTTGGCCGCGATAAGCTCTCATTTCCGTCGCAGACGGCAACGACCTACAATAAGGTCTTCTCCTACTGTCTGCCTTCGTCCGCTAGCTCCACCGGTCATCTCACATTCGGATCCGCCGGAATCTCCAGATCCGTCAAATTCACGCCGATTTCCGCTCTCACAGAAGGCACATCCTTCTATGGCCTCGATATCGTCGGAATCACCGTCGGCGGTCAGAAATTGTCGATTCCTCCAACTGTATTCTCTACTCCGGGAGCTCTAATCGATTCCGGAACCGTCATTACTCGCCTCCCGCCGAAAGCCTACGCGGCACTGCGAAGCGCGTTCAAGGCGAAGATGTCAAAGTATCCGAGTACGTCGGCTGTTTCGATCCTTGACACGTGTTTCGATCTCTCTAAATTTAAGACGGTGACGATCCCGAAGGTGACGTTCACTTTCAGCGGTGGCGCCGTCGTGGAGCTTGGCTCGAAAGGGATTTTGTATCCGTTCAAGATATCGCAGGTATGTTTGGCGTTTGCTGGGAATAGCGACGACAATAACGCGGCCATCTTTGGGAACGTGCAGCAGCAAACGCTAGAAGTTGTGTACGATGGTGCGGGCGGTCGGGTCGGATTTGCCCCGAATGGGTGTAGTTAATTTATTTTACTGTATTTCTTTTTCTAAAAAAGGGGTAAATTTACTTTATGGATTTGGCACAAATTAGCTTAATCCTTAATCAAGCGTGTAATTCGGGATTTCGAGCTCTAAGTAAACTGTACAGTAATAAGACTGTGTGGATGATACAACCGTTAAATGAATATAAATGGGTCCATGTACTGTTTAGTGTTTATAAGGCCCATATAAGAGCCCACGTACAAAAATTGCTTTGGATCTAAGTTGAATAAATGAAATTTGATCTTGTGTAACAAATTAGTTAATGACGTCCAGTGTCTTACCCATTCATATGGATTTCATATGGATCTTGGTTCACTGCCTAGTTAACTATCTACAACCTCATTAGTACGCTAGACTTGCAATCTTCAACTGCTTTAGTACGCCAAACGTGAAACATGGAATTGTAAAGACAAAAATCTTCTGTCCTATAACTTGACCAGAAAGGGGTTTTGTATCTGTACGATAAATCACAGGTTTGTTTGGTCTTTGCGGTGATGTCGGATTCAGACAGCAAACGCTACAAGTTGTGTAAGATGGGGTCGGATTTGCAACCCTTTTCGTACGCTAAACACGGAGACTTGGAGTCCACGGACAAAATGACAATAGTATTTTGTGGAATAATACTATTACAACCCCTGTCGTACGCTAAAATTTGGAGTCTAGACGACTAGACACAAGTCACAGCCACATAATAATTATCTAGTGCAATAATTATTACAACCCTTTGAGCAAGCTGGACTTGGGATTAGAGTCCCTACTAGAGAAATAATTGAGCAAAGAGATTTGGCTATAAAAGGACCTACCAGTTTCCTGTAATTTTAAATTATTGCTGTGAGGGATAGAGAGTAAAGAAAGCATACAATGAAGAATGTTATGAATATCATAATAATTCTTTTTGTATACCTCGGCTGGGGTTGTGCTGAGGGAGCTAAAGAAAGAGGGAGCGGAGAGATGTATTCTCACACTATTCAACTCAGCTCTCTCTTTCCTTCATCATCATCTTGCCTTCCTTCACAAGGTGATTTCAAATCTCTAGTTGTATTTATTTTAGCTATATGTGTGAGATTGATAAAATACAGCAGATATGCATAAAAGTTTCCACACTAGTTGATAAAAATGTTACTGTGTGACCATATAAATACTTGAAGTTCTATTTTGCATTTTTTTTTGGTTAACTTGAACTGGAGGAAAATCTGATGAGGTGCTTTGGGGTCTTAATCTTGCTATTTTTGAACGTGAATATCTCTACTCAGCATCTACAACCAAGTCGTCGTTGAAGGTGGTGCACAGACACAGCGCATGCTCGGGACTCAGCAGCGGCAAAGCATCGGCACCCGACCATGCCGACATCCTCAGACGCGATCAAGCACGAGTGGAGTCCATCCGATTGGCACTGTCAAACAGCTTCAGAGACCGCATCAGGCCGAGCCAAACCACAGATCTACCGGCTAAACATGGGAGTACGGTCGGTACAGGGAATTACATAGTGACGATCGGAATCGGGACACCTAAAAACGATCTCTCACTCATCTTCGACACAGGCAGCGATTTGACGTGGATCCAGTGCATGCCTTGTAGAACCTGCTACCCTCAGAAGGAACCTATCTTTAACCCTTCTTCGTCTTCTTCCTACTCCAACATCTCCTGCTCTTCGCCGGTGTGTGCTTCTCTCCGTGGCCAAGGTTCGGTGTTCAACGATTTTTTTTTGTCATTTGTGATGGCTCCGGTTTAGTTAAAACCGATTTTTAATTTTACTCATTTTCGATTTAGGTATCTTTAGCAATTGTTCGGCAGCTTCCAATTGCATCTACGGTACCGTCTACGGTGATAAATCCATTACCGTCGGCAATCTCGCCACCGAGAAATTTACCCTAACGAGCTCTGACGTCTTCGACGGCGTTAACTTTGGTTGCGGTAGGATCAACCAGGGAAAATTCAGGGGCATGGCCGGTCTTCTCGGTCTTGGCCGTGGCAAACTCTCATTTCCATCGCAGACGGCGAAGAAATACAACAATCTATTCTCCTACTGCCTCCCATCTTCGGCCAGATACACCGGTCATCTCACCTTCGGATCCGCCGGAGTCTCTAATTCCGTTCAATACACCCCGATTTCCTCCGTCTCAGATACGACCTTCTACGGTATCAGCATCGTAGGCATCACCGTCGGCGATAAGCAATTGGAGATTCCTCCGACCGTATTCTCATCGCAAAGTGCCATAATCGACTCCGGCACCGTAATCTCTCGCCTTCCTCCCAAGGCCTACGAGGCACTGCGAAGCGCGTTTAAGGAAAGGATGTCGAACTACACGGCTACGACGTCGCCGAGCTCGGTTATGGACACGTGTTACGATTTCACGGGACTGGAGGAGATTACCATCCCGAGCATTTCATTCTCCTTCAGCGGCGGCACCGTCGTGAAACTTGACCTAGCAGGGATTTTGTACGTATTTGATGTATCCCAGGTTTGTTTGGCGTTTGCAAGCAACGGTGATACTACTCTTCCCACAATCTTTGGGAACGTTCAGCAAAAGACGCTACAAGTTGTGTACGACAACGCTGGTGGACGCATCGGCTTTGCTCCCAATGGCTGTAGTTAGTTGATGTGATGAACAACAATAAAAAATGAATAATAAATTGAAGGATTTGGCTTACCAAATTAGCTTTGTGATTTCTAAGTAAACTTGTACTAGAATAAGCATAAGTTTGTGCTAATATATTCTTCACGAAGTTTTTAAGCAACGTCAAACATTTGCTTCATCTCCAAAAATCCGATTGCTAAGCTATAGATCATTTTTCTCTTTTCCTTCAGTAAAAACATAATTTCATTATTTACTTTGACGGGTAAAATCACCCCCAAGTTTTTCAACATTTTTGGCATTTGTCTGTCCCACGACTCTAAAAGATATCACCACACGCTTTTTCTTCCGACGATAGTGGACTATTCTCCTATATGCTAGTTCATCAAGACGAACCAAATCCAACAAAGACAAAAGAATCCGCCGAATTTCAATTTAATTCCATTAATCTATCACGAAAACTCTCGGGGAGATAATTTATTTACAAAATCCATACAAAAATTTACCAAGTAAATATCGATTTGACTGAGATTAATGAAAATTGTTTCAGATTCTTTGAGAGAGGAGAAAATGTATTCAATAAATCGTTGACCTGGTTTGTTGATTGTAATGTCTTCCCTCTGTTGAATTTTAATCTCAATCCTCGTCCTCGTCGTGGTTAACTTTCGCCGAACTCAACGTTCTGCACGGTTGCGATGGCAGCTGCTGCGGCGGTGGAGCGTCGACCACAAACGCCGACGACATCTCCATTTGACAAACTCTGACAGCTCCGATTAACCTCTCCGGCAGCTCTTCCTCTGTCTGTGCCTCCGCAAGGAACCCCATGTCGATCGTCACGCTCGTCACGTACCCTAACGCCAGCCGGAGAATCGCCGTTGCGATCGCCGAGCTGCAAATGTCGACATCGATCTCAAAGTAATTAGGACCTCTGTGGTAATTGCACGTCAGGGCCTTGCCTAGAAGGCACGCGCCATAGTTCCCAACCGCGGCTTTCACTACCCAGGGACCTTTCACGATCCGGTTCACGATTTTGAATCTCTGGTTCCGGAACGAGTCGTCGCCGTTGATGAACCGGTGGAGAAGCGAGTCGGAGGGGATCGGTTCCTCCGTCGCGAAGTAGAACACTGCGCTGTGGTGGTCCTTCCCTGGAATCTGGAGATTCACGGCGAAGATAAAGCTCTTTAGAGATTGGCCGCGAGATTGAGCTTTCTTAAGCGCGTGAGCCACACGATTATCGGGACGAGCGAGCACGTTCTCGAGTTTACTAGTTGATCTGAGCCAGTCCATGCCGGCGGGAGAGAGGAGGTAATCACCGGCGGGGGATTTGTGTTTTTTGGACAAGTAAGAATCGGAGCGGAGAGAGAACACGTCGCCGGGAGGAGAAGCCCAGCCGTCGGTACCAGTGTCGGGATCTACGCGGCGGAGAGATCCACCGTTGGTAGTTTCGGTAATCCATTCCGGTACGGCGGAGGAGGAACCGGATCTGACCGATTTTGACTTGTTATCGCCGGTGGAGCTGCGATGTCGTTGCTTGGAAGGGCTCATGTTGTATTGGTGTGTGTGTGTGGTCGTTGGCCCTTCTCTTTCTCTCTCTCTCTCTCTCTCTCTTCAATGGCGACTTGTGCGGTGTGACAAATCAAGGGCAGGAAATGGCTTTGGAGATTTATAAGAAATTCCAAAAGTGTCCTTGGTTTTATCTGGATTTCATGTGCTTTTTCTCAATTAATGTCAATCATTTCATATGAGCTTTTACTTTGTTTTAATACCTAGCAGATTTACTTCAAAATCTTTGGAATGGGGTTAACACATTTCGTTTTCTTCTTGCTTTTGATTGGTGAATAATTGCATACAGGTGGAATTATTCATACACCTGTTAAACCAACTAATCATAATTATTGCAATTGGCAGGAAGCACGAACAATGTTTTGTCGACTTATTATCATTTAGCTTGAGTAATATCTAAATATATAAATATAATAGAGAAAGATATAAGCTAATGTAGTTGGTGGGGAATTGGCATTTGTAGCTGGTAACTAATAAAATATACAATTAGTAGTCATTATCGGTATATATTCTACAGCTCTTCTCTACTTTTGGTTGCTTTACATCACAAAAGTTGCCTCCAAAGGTAAGAACAACGTTCCGCGTTAAAAAAGCGTTTAAATGGACAAATATATCTGTATAGCAAGGTGGAAAATTTTAAGAAAAATTGGATACGATAACGAGTCGGTATCTCTACCGACTTTCAACTTATAACACGCATGATATATACATGGAAGTCAACATTGGGTTTGGAGTTCTAGGGATGAATATATGCCAACATACTTAAGCTTTTACAGTCAAATAAACTACATTCCACAAGTCAAGAGACAAGGACAGGGCAAAATTAATGGAACATGCCAAAGAAACAAGAAATGAGAAAAACTAGACAAAGGAAAAGACTCGTTTTGTATTGGAAGCAGATGAACCTTAACAATGATTAGCCCTCTCCTAAACATGCCCATGTAAAGGGATTCTTTTATCTATTCACCTTTTCTAATCAAACCAACTTAGACCTATACAATTCTTTCTACATTGTGATCTCTGTTTTAAAAGCTGACTACTCAATAGTCAATATCACTTCTAGCCAGACAAAATGGTTTTCCAACACAGTGTCCACTCTTGGTTACAGAGAGACTACTACTCTGTCTTGATGAACACAAATTGGTCTTACCCTCGGAAAATAAGTGAAACACCACTGAAGGATACCTGCCAGATTATTGAATGATCTGTTTGTGAGTATAGTAGAAGGCTCAAACAGAAACAAAGACCGAGAAAGCAGGATGTTAAGAACCAAACTGATAACCAAAACCTAAGACCAACTAATATGTTAACACACAGACAGAGTTAGTTAGTTGAGCTGACGTAATATTAGGAAATTTCTGTAATATGAATCATCACAGGAAATACAATAGTCTTGGACGCTGAATGATGTTACTCAGAGGAGCCAATAACAAAGAACACAAGCGTCATGCTCAAAAACTCAATTTCACCATAAAACACTTGATTTTTGTTTCAAATTTACAGACTGTAGACTGTAAAGTACACTAGTGTAATGAAACAATGACCGGAACTATTACAATATCTATTTAGAACAGCCCGAGAAAAACTGCATAAAAGTCGGTACAGGCTAGAACATAGGTGAAAACGAACAAGTGAGCGAGCAGACATGATCCACCTAAAAACATCATCGATATCGTCGGAAACAGCTATCATTCTTCTAATTAAGCGGAAACAAAGCAAATATTTCCGAAATCTTCATAACCGACAAAACCACTGATCAGAACAACCACCGTAATCGCAATATCGGATCGGAAGCAAAATCCACCAATTTTTGAAACTGAAGTACCATTAAACATGAGAGGACGTTTGCTTAGTGAAATTTTCCTCTCTGAGGCCGACGATCAGTGGCCAATCTGTAAATCCAGTAACCCTGCGAAGTGCGAACCACAAGAGATCAGCGATTGGAGATTGTAGCATATAAAAAGACTAAAAAAGACAAAGAAACGATAAGATCACGACAAGTACCAAGGCGATGACATGAGCTGCAGCAAGAAAAATAACCAAAGCCGGTACGAGATCCAGAAACCAAGGCCGCAAGTGTTGGTCCTTCGCCATGAAAGACGAGAGCAAAAGCCTCTTTTTGATATCAGACGGATCGGTTTGGTTTGAATTCCTCCGGAGACGAGAAGCAGCTACTATGACAGTACCGTCGACTGAATACTGATCCAATCTCACTCTTCTCCGTCAAAAATTTATGCTGCTGTTTGGCAGTAGGAGCAAACTTATCCTTACTCCACTTAAGTTGATAAACCATGGCCCATGGGCCCAACTTCTGCGATGTTAATTACATGGACTAAACTATGATTTAACATGGACATTGTATTGTTTAATTGTTAATGTTCCAAAAAAAATATCATAGTTAAAAAAAAAACCACACGTACGCTAACGTGGGACCCGCGTGATACTACTTCGAGGCTTCGAGCATCACTTGCTTGTCTGAACGACACGTGTCTGTTTTGTACATCCGTCGCTTGTCTGAACGACACGTGTTAGTTGAGCTATTGGACTTCTGGTTCTTTCTACTTTCTAAATTTAGCATAAATCAACGCAACCTCATTGTTTACGGTAGTCTCGCCGGAATATGCTCCCTTCTCGAAACGTCGATCACCTGTTTCCTCTTTTCCTTTTTCGGTTTCTTTCTCTTTCTCTATTTTCTCAACACAGGAATCAACCATGAATCTCCCATTTTCTTCTCCCCTTCCCTCACTTCTCTCTCCTTGTGATTCTTTCATGTAATTTTCAGGTATTCTTTTGATTTCTGTTTGATTGCGAAAATCACCGTTTTTCGTTCGATTGAAAGATTAGAAGAGCATCCGAGAAGATTGATTCTGTTGATTTGGAGAGTAAGAAATATGGGATATTTGGACTTGGCGTTGTCGTATTCCAACCAGACGCCGACTGTTGAAGCTCCGGCGAGCGGAGGAGGTCTCAGGTCATTCATCTCACTTCAACTGCTTCGATTCATGTTCAATCTCTTTGTCTGGCGTATGCAATTACTTGAATCAATTAGCTATGTTGTGGATTTGATTATTTGCGCTGTAATTGTGGTTTCATCTTGCTCTTTTTAATCTTATCTCATTGTTTAACTTGGTCCTTTGGTGAAAATGTTTCTTGTTGTTTTGTTACATAACATGTCATGATATGCTTTCAGCCAGAATGGAAAATTTAGCTATGGATATGCAAGCTCCGCTGGGAAGAGATCATCTATGGAAGACTTTTTTGAAACGAGGATCGACGGTGTCAATGGAGAAATCGTTGGTCTTTTTGGAGTTTTTGATGGTGAGATTCCATTGATGGAGATCTAATAGCTTATTTTTTGATATTAGGGAACAGAGGATTAATACTTACTCTGTTTTTGTCAGGCCATGGTGGAGCGAGAGCAGCTGAGTATGTGAAGCGTCATCTTTTTAGTAATCTGATCACACATCCAAAGTTTATCTCTGACACCAAATCAGCTATAAGTAACTCTCAGATCAACCTTAACAGAGTTTTTTTTTTTTTTACACAATTTCTTTATTCGCACACTAATTTACATGGAATTTGGTTCAATTTTTTTTGTCCAGCTGATGCTTATAACCATACAGACTCTGAACTTCTTAAGGCGTCAGAGAATAGTCACAATAGAGATGCTGGTTCGACTGCTTCTACAGCTATCCTTGTTGGTGACCGTTTACTTGTTGCAAATGTTGGTGATTCTAGAGCTGTTATTAGCAGAGGCGGAAATGGTAATTTACCTAGTAGATCAGTTATGATTCTTAGTGATAAATTAGTCACATGCATTTCTCATAAATCTTCTGTCCTTTGATATATGAATGATTCTCTGTGTGTGCGTGCAGCCATAGCTGTGTCAAGGGACCATAAACCTGACCAAAGTGATGAGCGTGAAAGGATTGAGAATGCTGGTGGATTTGTCATGTGGGCAGGTATGTAACCAAGAAACTGTAAGACTATAAATAATTTATGCTTCATGCTTTTCTCAACACTTAGTCCTAATTTCTTGTGTTTGTGTGTTGCATTCATTTTTAACTGATTAGGAACTTGGAGGGTTGGAGGAGTTCTTGCAGTTTCTCGTGCATTTGGTGATCGGCTTCTGAAGCAATATGTTGTTGCTGATCCAGAAATCCAGGTCTTTTCATCACTTTTATAAGAACCACATCTATTTGACTTTTTGTTCTTCAGCTGACAAATTTCATAAACCCTTTTGTCATTGAATACAGGAAGAAAAGATTGACGAATCTCTTGAGTTTCTGATCTTAGCAAGTGATGGATTATGGGATGTAGTCTCTAACGAGGTCTGTGAAGTTAATTTCTTCTTTAACATCCCTCTGTTTTCCTACACTAACACATACTATATATCGTTGATCATATTTTGCAGGAAGCAGTTGCAATGGTTAAGGAGGTTGAAGGTTCAGAGGATTCAGCGAAGAAACTTGTGGGAGAAGCAATTAAGAGAGGAAGTGCTGACAACATCACATGTGTTGTCGTTCGTTTCTTGGAGAAAGCTTCATCAAGCCACGTCAGCTCCTCATCATCCAAGGAATCCAATCAGATGCCGCCACTTGGAGACCTCAAAATCTCATCCAATGAAACTAACCAAGTCCAGATCGACTCAGAGAACACCAGCACAGGAAATAAACCAGAGAATCGAAAACCGGTCGCTGCAAGCAGCTTAACCGAGCAAGTGAACCGAAAACCGGTCTCTGCGAGTAGCTCAACCGATGCAGACCAGAGCGGCTCAGGCGGTGAAATGAAGCAAACGCCATTCTGAGTTCTCAGAGGAAATCAGTGAGCCATAAGGTAAATAGCGTTATCTCGAATCTCTAGGAACTAAAGAAGCCGTCCTCTTCCCTTCAATGACAAGAAGCAAACTTACAGATCGTTTCATTCTGTTTTGCATTTAGGATTAAATATGTAATTTATATGAATGTTTTAAAAATGTGACTATGTCAGTGTGTGTATATATAAATACATGCATCTTTTTTGGTACTGTTTATGTGAAAATGTAGTATAAAAGAACATATAATATTCATACTATACATTTGGCATTTGACTCTTCATTTATGTTTGTAATAACTAGCAAACAACACTTGATATTCAGAAACTAAAATATTGGTCTTCAGGAATAAAAATACAAATCGTCTTATTATTATCAAACAGAAATTTCTTACAGCTCAAATACTAGTATCACATTACTGAAATAGAAACCATTAGTCTACATAAGATTTAGCATATAGATAAATTGGATATTGACCTAAAACAGTCCACGAAATATTCCGAGTTTCTTGCCGCCAGATTTCTTCTCGTGACCATTACTGTGACCTCTCTGATACTCCTTTCTCCTCTCCAAACTGTCAACCAAGTCCTTCAGGGATCCATCGACATCTATTTTATGATTCTTGGACATCAGCTTCTCGGCTACATCAGCTGGAGCAATCTTTGTTTCCTTCAAGAAAGCTTCGATCTCACCAAACAGAGGATGAGTATCAATATCCAAGTAGTTCTTGGCAAGAACCTTGAACGCCTCGAAACTGCAATAAGACAGCTCAATGTGCATATCCATTCTTCCTCTCCTGATCAAAGCCGGGTCTAGTTTCTCCATATGATTCGTGGTGAAGACGATAATCCTCTCTTGTCCGCAAGCCGACCATATCCCATCTATGAAATTCAAAAGACCAGAGAGTGTCACTCTACTACTCCGGTTTTGTTCTTCACTGCCTTGTTCTCCATCTTTCTTGCTGCTGAAGTCACCGTATTTCTTCCTTCTCTTACCCGTTAGGTCTACAGAACAATCGATATCTTCAATCACAATAATCGACTTGCTCGATGTAGCCGTGAGGAGTTTCCTCAGCTCCGAGTTGCTCTGTATAGCCGTGAGCTCGAGATCATAGATACTGTAGTTCAAATGATTCGCCATAGCCGCGATCATCGTGGATTTACCAGTCCCTGGTGGTCCGTACAATAGGTAACCCCTTTTCCAAGCTTTCCCAATCTTCTTGTAATACTCTTTCCCATTTCTAAACGCCTCGAGATCATTCAAAACCTCCTCTTTCTTCTTAGGATCCATCGCTAGCGTCTGAAAACTCGCTGGATGCTCGAAATCAATGTGTCTCCACAAGCTCTTCTTGCTAGAATCCCAGTTGAGACTAGGGTTATTGGTGAACAGCTTCATCTTCTTGTTCTTCGCTTCAATCGATTTCCCTTCATCCATCACGTACTTAATGTAAGATCCGGTTACAATCTCTAATCCACGTCTATGGAAAGTGAGCCTGTGAGTTCTGTCTCCTTCAGCATCAGTCACAATCTCCCACCAGACGTTAATTCCTTGGTATATGTCTCTGACTTTAGTCTCGTCACGTTTCAAGACTAGACCTTTGCTCTCTTTGACTTGACTTGCCCTAAGCTTCTGGGCTTTATCGGTTGATTTCGCCCCAAGGTAAGTGTCTATAGCTGCGAAAGCGTGGTTGAAACGGTACTCTTCGTACTCTGGGAAGTTGATGACAACGTACGGAGAGAAGAAGTTGATGATCCGGTCGGAGAATCTTTGGACAAAAGAGAGTTGTTGGATTGCAGACAAAAGAAACTCTTTGATTGCCATCTTGAGGTGATCAGGGAAGATCTGCTGAAAAGTTGCCCAGAAGAAGAACAAACTTGCCATGCTTGAACCAAATGTTCCCATCGTATCTCCCATCATCATCAAGCAAGAACAATATTTTTTATTGTATTTATTTCTTATTTTTTTTCTTGGATTTAGATTAATTGGACTTGTTTGTGTTTGGTGTGTGGATGAGTATGGATTACCGTGTAACGGCTTTATTTATAGACAAAATTTGAAAAGCAAATGCATAGTGAGATGCATGAAGTCCAATAGAGTCAACTTGGTCGGTTTTATTGAATATCAAGGAAAATAATTGAAGGCTCTTTATTGTTTGTCTTAAAAAATCAAGGTTTTATTAGATTTCGTTACAAGATGCTGTCTTTACCGAAAGGTAATCCCAAAATACTGATTTCGGAATTGTTTTATTAAGATGTTCAAATTACTTTTTTTTAGAAAATCAGTTTATGTAAGCATTACTACCACGAGGTTGTCAATAAACTTTGATAACACACCGATATGATAGGAAAAGTGTTATAAAAGGTACCACTATGGAACATTCCGAGCTTCGTACGCCTCTTTAGTTAGGAGATGCAACTTTTATTTCGTTCCAAATCCAAAGGCTCTAATTCTTAATTATACAAATAAATCACATGTGAAGATGTAAAGTGAGTTTTCAGACCAACTTTATATGGTTGGAGAAAATATTATGAATCTTCTTATGTGTTGTTGTTCAGATGTTGTATCGATAACGTGTGAACTTTTATGCCAAAGAGTAAAGACGAGGAAACTGCGTTTATAAAAGATGTGTAGGTCCATGTCCGTCTTGAACATAATTAGAAAGAACATAATTAGAACATGACAAAAAGATATGATTTCAAACTAGAGAGATGTTTCAGAGCATCATTAGTGGTCCAGTAACCAACCACAAGAGCAGTTAAGAAAAGAAAGAGATAACAAACAAGCACAAGTCTTAGACAGACAATGGAGGGATCCAGTAAGGAAGGAAAGGAGTCTGTATCTCTCCACCTGCGGGTCCAATCTTGGGTGGTTTCAGTCCCCGGCAGGTTTTTGTGGCGAGACTGTAGACGGCGAAGTCTTCATGAGAGATGAGGTAGATGGAGTTGGGCTCCAGACCAGGGCAGGAGCTGGCCTCGACGCAGAAAGGATGGCTCTCCGAAAGGAAAATGCAGAGATCGCCAATGTCCTCAGTGTAGCACATGTAGCTATTCTCCGTCGTCTCTTCCTCTCTATACACCATGAACACCGGCTCTCTCTTCTTTCCTAGCTGCGGCGGGGAGACATAAGAGTACCTGCGATACAACACATACAAGCCAGACATGTGACCACACAAGAGCATATATCATAATCTATTGTAAGGTCTTATGAGCTATTATTACCATTGCACGAAGAAGGATTCGCCAGAGGAAGAAGACTGAACCCAGTGTTCTTCCCTGGAACCTGAAGCCAACAGCTGATACTCTGACGGTTGCAGCTCGGGAAGGTCACGAAAGATCATCTGGCGGAACATTGGAGAGTCTTCCTCCTTGAAGTCGAAGTCCCATCTGAGCAAGTAGTTGCCTCCAGGGCTAGGCAAGTAGAAGCAATGGTCTCTCGGTGAGCAAGACAGATTCGAGTTGTACAAGGAGACAGATTCGAGTCCCCAAGAACTTGATCGCAGCTACAAAGCCTTCTTCTTCTTCTTCCTCACAGGACACTGCCACGTTCTTGGCTAGTTCGGTTTGGCTGAAGGGCAGAGTAGTGAGCGGAGGCAGAGGAATCATCTTAGGGTTAGATTTGGAAGCCGATGGATGGTAAAGGTCGCTCATCCACAAGGAACGGTCAGAGGAGAAAAAACCCCATCCCTGAGCACTTCCGAGTAGTGAATATGGATGTAGCTCGTCGGGGATAACTTTGTCAGAGACAGTCACTAACTCTTCCTTGGCCGGATCAAAGAAGAGGACTTCTCCGATGCCTCTGCCGTCTCCTAGGTCTTCCTTAATATTAGGGCCAAGAGTCAGGTACGGAGACGACGAAGAGAACGAACGGAGTAGCTGCCAATTTATTTGGAATCAAAGTTAGTAACCAAAGAGATTCAGAATCAGAGACAAGCATAGTGAAATCTCAACCGTCCTAAGTTCGTAACCTAGCTTTGTTCAACTCATTTTCCTTTGATTAAAAATTGAAACCTGAAGAAAAGCGGATCTATCTAGCTATCTCTCTAAACAAAAAAAAGGAAGAAAGAGAAGAGAAGCTTACGCCGGCATTGTTCCGGTGACAGATCTTGGAGAGTCTGATGAGAAGCTGAGACATTGTTCGGTAAGCTGCGAATTTGCTGACTGAAAATCAATATTATCAGTAGCTTTGGGAAGAAGAGATTAAACTGATTGAAGAAGAAGATGAAAATGCAAAAGCGCTTTCTTTATTTCTTCACTCTTTAAGAGTGACAAAACCCTAAGGCAGGTGGCATCCAAGGGCTCAAAATCAATTTGAGATATCGAGTGGACAGGGTTTGATCGTACGAGTGTTTGTCCTCACTCTCTCTCTCTGTCGCCAGTAAGTTGAACTCTGCTTTTACTCCACCTTATCCGTTAGTGACCGTGTTGCACACGATTTGAATGTCGCTGAGCTATTATTGGGCTTTTTACTTACTTTGTCTTGTATTTGGCCCAATTGTCATTGCTCTGGCTGTTTTGGTGAAACGATGACGTTCTGTCTTGCTCTGTTTCATTAGAATATTAGATATTAACGGACAAAAGTTCAAATCCATCCCAATAGTAGCCCATTATAATGTAACCCCAGATAGTATTGGCCCAATTATGTATTTTAAATTCCTCGGGTCATGTAAGGAGCCGGATCCTCGGGTCAGGGTCTACGTGGAAGCTTCTCAAGAGGCGACGTGTTCTCTGTTGTAGCGCTCTTTTCGACGCCTTGCTCTGTTATTTGGCCGTACTCCTCCTCCATCGCCATCGGACTCTCTTCTCTTAGACATATTTTCATTTTGTTTGCTCATCTCTGCGTCGAATTTCCTTTTCCTCTCCTGCTTCCCAATCGAAAATGAGGACGATCGTCTCCCGTTTGATTCGTTACAAATCGTCTCTTCCCCAAGCACGGTGAGTGTTCTTTTTAATCGAATCGTCTCTCTAGGCTTTGTCAGATTTTAGATTCCTCTTGACATTTCTGGAAATTTACAAGTATCTAAGCATCTGTGTCGGTATTGAGGGAAATGCGCACTTGTTTTTTTGGTAATTTCTCTTAGCTGGGTTTGCTCCATGATCTAGATTCTTAGAAATGAAGGTGTTTGAGTGTAATTCAATACTGCTTGTTCGTTGCCATGAGATTTATGTAGTAGATTATGAGTTGCAATTCTATCACCGGCGATAGATTTACTCTTTCTCTAGCAGTTGCCGGAATCGAGAGGTGAAATTTGTGAAGTTTAGTTTCTTATCTTAGCTTTCTTCGTTTGTGCATGTTGCATTAGGATCGTTTCTGCCTCCGGTGGCGGAAGGTATCTCACCACAGACTCTAACAAAATCGATGAGCCCTTCAATGTGGAAGAAGCAGAGACTGTACATGTGCCTCCACCTCCAACCGAGAAGGTATATGAGTTTTATGCGTTTCTGTGAGATCTGACATAGTTTTTAATCTGATCTTGGAACTTATCTTTCGTTCTTGTCAGCTGCTTGTCCTGGGTGGAAATGGTTTTGTGGGATCACATGTTTGTAAAGAAGCTTTAGATCGCGGCTTATCTGTCTCTAGCCTTAGCAGGTAAAAAAATAAATTAGTTGAAGCTTCTCGTTTTTAAGATAGGTGATCTATGTCAGAGACTGATTTTAGGGTGTGTGCTTAACAATCTGTAGATCAGGTAGGTCGTCTGTACAAGAGTCATGGGCTACCAGAGTAACATGGCATCAAGGTATTGTTATATCCTCCTCTAACATGTTTCTACGAACTATATTTTCTCCTTTATGTTCATATATTTTGTATATTTCACTTTTGTCTCCAGGAAACCTTCTTTCATCTGATTTATTGAAAGATGCTCTTGATGGGGTGACTTCTGTGGTATGTTTTTTCCCTTCATATTCAGGAATAATGCGGAAATTTGATGACTGCTACATATTTTTACTTATTGAAGCAGTGCTGCTTTGTTCAATTGTGCATTTTTAAATTTATTCGGAATATGTCATTGCAGATCTCTT